TTTCAGGTGTTACATCAAGAAATGATGGAGGCTCAGCAAAACCAAAATTAGCAAAAGCGGTAAGTGAAATATATTAAACTTTCTGCTGCAAGTATTGAACTTAACTTAAGCATGTAATGTTATAGCTAAATCTACCGTATATGCAGACGCAGAAAGGTGCTGAGAAACTTATGTGCGCGCAAGGGTTGGGGGCACGAATGGACACTAACCCTGAAATAGGATGTGCCTGAATGCACTTGGCACACCTTAATTCAGGGCAGATTTGTCCACTTGCAGTCACTATTTTGATCCCTACTATCTCTTTCAGGTAAATTTTGGTTGCTTAATATCTGGTGTGACATAATGGGTGGCATGAAAATTGGACATATATTTAAACTTCATTGTCACGAGACTAACAGCTCAATTTAGAACCAATTGCAAAAATCAGATAACTTGCATGTTGCACAAAAAATAGATTCTGTTAAGAATAGAATTTTGCTTGTGATTCCATTTTGAGCAATTGAAAAGAATGTACACTTTTTTTACGTGAAATTTACAGGACTTTCTTCTGCACATGCCCATTACGCACACGGCTGTCATCATTTTATTACTGCGTCACTCACAACTATTCTGTGACACGGTCAAATTATTCTAGTGTTGTTGGAGCTGCTTTTTGTTTTCTTTCACTTTTCAGAGCCTTTCGGGGTCCAAAATGGACGCAAAGAGAAAAGAAAAGTTCAGTGATGCTGAGTTGGAGGCCTTAGTGGATGGAGTTTGCCAGCATTTTGACAAACTATTTGGCAGGTTTGTCAAGACAACACCTATTAGTGAGAAGAATCGCTTATGGAAGACTATACTTGATTGTGTCAATGCCCAGGCTTCCTGTAAAAGGTCAGACAATGACATAAAAGTACGTTGGAGAGACCTGCGCTTGAGGACCAAAAAAAAAGTGAAAGAAATCATGGATCACAGGCGGGAGACTGGCGAAGGACCTTCTTTGGAAGAGCTTCTGAGCCCTGTTATGTTGAAGGTTTGGAGTACCATTAACGCTGCACGTCTGGAGAGAGTGGACAACAACAACTTTAAAGCCATGAAAGGTAAGAAATTGTCTTGTGGCATGTGGATATCTGGAGGGAGTATTTGGCTGTGCATATAGGTGGGAAGGAGTAAGTGGATGGACATGTGGGGGCTTGGATAGAATGTCTAGTTTGGCATGTAGTTGGCTGAGACTATCAGACTAGGCATGGATGTAGTGTGATGGAGTGTCTAGATTGAATGTGGGTGGCCTCGAGGGTATATCTGCTTGGGAGGGAGACTCTAAATAGCAATATATGTGGTTGTGAGAGTGTATCTGACTGGGTATGGGGGTTGTTGAGAGGGAGAGAGTATATAACTGGTCATGTGGGGGGATGGGAGAGATATATAGCTGGACATATGGATGGCTGGGGTGGGTGGTATTGTAACCGATCACCTGGCTCCCCCGACTGGGCATCTCCGCCAACAGATGCTTCCTAGCTGATGCTGAGGACCATAAGCACCACACCAGACACCACAAGCACCGCAGACTCCACAACCGCTGTAGCTTAGCTGGGATCTTGCTGTCTTCCTTCCACCCTGGACCAACCTCTGATATCCAGGACCTTGTGGGTAAGACCTCTCCTACTCCAGAGAGCGTAGCAGGAACAGTTCTTAGAAGAGCTAGTGATTAGAACCCAGGGGAGTATAAGGAGTATAGCAATCCCCAGTGTGAATATAGCAGTTCCCCTCCAATCACGAGACCAAGCTACGTGTTGATGGTTAAGCAGGAACTCTTGTTTAATGGAGGTACACTGGCCTTTTATGCAAGTTTCCCGACAAGGGTGACACCCAGGTGGACCTTGTTGGACACAGGGACACAAAGGGAATAAACCAATAAGAACAGTAATTAACTGTACGACACTCCCATAGCACACATACAATCCCTCCCCTCTGCCTGTGAGATAATTGAATGAAGTACTGTATTTAACTCAATTATCTCCAGGCAGAAAAACACACATTTATTATAAAATCCGATAAGTACCCCAAAACACAACATATCTCCAAAGTGCCGCTGGAGAACCGACCAGGAACCACAAGGTTTTCATGCCGAAAATAGTTCCAGGGCATTCGCGGCTAAGTCCCCCTGAAGTCTATTCGCTGTTTTGGTCCATGCGAACAAGATGGCTGCCACCACGTGGTCGAATGGCACTTCAAATGGCTTCGGGAGTTCGAAGTGCTGCTTTGAAAGTTCGAATAATTATTGTCCAAAGTCATAATAAGTACAAATAATAAATTAAAGGGGCCATAATCACAGGTTAAAATGCTGGCAAGTAGTCCCCTCCAAACCCCAGTGGCGAAGTGGCTTTCACCACCTGTATATAACTAGGCACGTGGATGGCTGGGGTGGGGTATATAGTTGGGCATGTGGGTGACTTGGAGGGATATGTGACTGGTCATGTGGGGAATTGGAAAATAATATATAGCTGGACATGTGGAAGATTGGCATTGAGTGTCTGTCTGGATATGTTGATGCCTGGGTTGGAGTAGGTGGATGGAAATATCTGGTTGAGCATGTGTGTAGCTGGGAGGGAGCTTGTGGGTGGTTGGGAAGGAGTATATTGATGTATAGAAGAGATTATCTGGCTAGTTATGCAGGTGCCTAGGACGGTAAAACTTGATGGCAATGTAGGTGACATGGCAGGGTTATAAAGTTGGGGGGGGGGAGACTTCATGGAGATGTGAGTGGCTTAGTGAGAGTATGTAGCTGGTCTCCAGATGAGAATATGGTTGCCTGGGAAGGAGTATCTGGCTGAGGATGGGAGTTGATGGGAGAAAATATGTAGCTGGGTATGTGGGTTGATGTGAGCAGTATAGGTTTGTGGGGAGCTGGGAGAGAGTATCTCTTTCTGACTGGAAATGTTAGAGGATGGGAGAGAGTATCTGGCCAAGCATGCAGGTGGATTAAAAATATCTGGTTGACATTTAAGTTTGTGGGAGGGAGTATATGAGTAGGGATCTGGATGGCTTGGAGGTAGTGTGTGGCAGGGCACATGAGTGACTGGGAGAAAATATCTGGTTGGGCGTGAGGATGGCTGTGAGGAAATATGTGGCTGAGCATGTGGGTGGCTATGCTTGCATGGTCTGGCTGCAGTATCTCAATGTGTAGCACAAAGGCGTAAAAACTATTTTAATATTTTTTTCTCTCTGTTTTTTATTTAATCTTTTAGAGAAGTCAACAGACAGCCAAGATGTCATCAACTCAACACCAGACACTGCCACAGCAGCTAAACCAACAACCACCAACATTAGCACTGAGGTCCATAGTGGACTAAGTCATAGTGGATCATCAGGATCTGTGGAGACATCCACTATTACGCCATCCCTCGGTGTCGAAGCACTACCAGAAGCTGACCAAGGTCCAGGAAATGAGAATGAGATTATAAGCCTCAACATAACTCCTTCTGAAGAAGACCATACAGAGCAGCAGCCAGTGTTGGATGACACTCAGCCATTAACGCCAGAGGACCCGGTTGTTGAATCCATCCCTGCATCCCCCACACTAACACCATCCAAGGAAGGAAGAGACAGACCTACACTTCATGTACCAGCTGCCAGCCAAGCACACCAACTCAGGAGGTCGCTTCAGTCACGCAAGAAAGATACTGGCAGCAAGCTTGACCCAGCAGTAGAGCCACATATGGACTCACGGTGCAAAACCCAAGATAATCTGCGTCAAGTGAACAAAGAACATAATGGTATTCTTCAGAACATTCTGGCTTGTCTGCAGGACATGCGAGCACAACAGGCAGGTTTGAGGGGTGCTCTGGTGCAAATAGCTGAAGCAGTTCAAGGCATCCAACTAGCTATCCAGAATGGATTCAGGGACATTGTGGCAACAAGTCAACAAAGAGTTATGGGTGATGATGCACCCACCACCAGAGCAGCAGCAGCACCCTTGTCACCAACACCCCCGTTTACTGTCGCTAAGAAAACCACCACTGTGCTGCATGATCACAGGAAAGATAGAGCCAATGCAGTTTCAAAGAAGCGGCCGCGCCTGTCACAATCCTGAGCTGAAAAATAATGTGTGCAACGCAATGGACTTTTGTATAACTATTTATTTATTTATGTATTTATTAATGGTTATTTAACTTTTTTGTTGTTGTTTATTGTTCAGACATTTGCCATCATTCTTGTCAGCAAGAATAATTACTAAGCCATGCAATATGTAATTTGTGATTTGCATGGTTGATATGATATTAAGTTCTTGCAATCAGATGCCTGCTGATAACAATGATGGCAAATAGAATGCAGGTGGTATGTTTCTTCATATACAGTAGCATGAAAACATTTTTGAACCCTTTGGAATAACTTGGATTTCTTAAATGATTTCTCATAAAATGCGGTCTGATCTAATTCTAAGGCACAATTAGAGAAAAATGCTATTTGACTAAACTAATAACACACAGTTAAATTTTTCATATTTTTATAATCATTTACAGTGCAGGTTGTAGAAGGCAAGTGAACCTCTGTGTTAAAGGGTCACTAAAGACCCCTAAGGCACTTGAGCTTGCTGAAGTGCTTTATATGTGAAGAATATTTCCTCTTTTTTCATTTTACAAAAAGTTCAGATTTCAATAGTATTTGGCACTTTTATAAATTAACCTTGTTACACCCCACTGGCAGTCAGTCAGACAACTGACCCTGTTACTTCCTGGTTTGATCAGCTCAGTGGAGCTAAACTCAAGAGGCAGCAATTGCTCAGAACACCTGCCTTGCAAAGAATTCTCATTTAGCTGCACTGGGAAGTCTGTGATTGGACAGCCACAGAAAGAATGGACGGGGTTAGAGAAACAGGGCTTGCAAAGGTTTCATACAAGAGATTTGCTTCTTTTGCAAACTGTTTTTAGATATAATGAAAAAAAAAATCATAATTAAATGCATACATGTTTCTATTGTGGATATATCTGCTAAATATTGATTTGGATTTTTTTAAAATAATTTTTGCTGTGGAATGTCCCTTTAATGGCTTCTACTAAAGCTGGTTGGAGTCAGGTGTTCCAGGTAAAGTGATAAGATTTGAAGCCTTTTAAACGCACACATGACAAATCTGTTCTTCCCCAAGAGAATTGGTTAGTTAAACTACTCCTCAATCCCAAAAACTTTCACAGGACCTTAGAAGATGCATTATAGAGATGCACAAAGTAGGAATAGTTTAAAAAAAGCGTTGCTGAAGTCCAATTTAGGACAAAATAGTCTACTAACTGATAAAATTCAGGATTGTCCCTGCTCTCACTCAAAGGCCTGCAAAGATCACTGCAAGAGCACAACAAGCAATCACAAAAGAGGTTAGAAAGAACCCATGGGTAACAGTAAAAGACCTCTAGAACAATCAACAGACTGGGAAAGTCTTTGTCCATGTGTCCACTATCAGAAAAACACTGAACAAGAATGCTGTCTAAAACAACAACAACAACAAAACATTGCGTCATGTCTCAAGTTTGCCCGAGACAAAAGGATATTACAGTATGGTGGATGTTCAACAGCAGATGTTAATTGGTGGACTTAAGAAGAGAGAGATAGAGTCTTTAAAGTCAGAGAATAGACAGACAACAAGTCTCATGATACTCTGTCCACTATTCTTTATAGCTATGACCATACTGATGTCGGACCTTATAGCTAAAACTCTGGCCATGTAAGAACACATATGAAAATCATCTTTATATGCCATCTGTTACTTATGCTCAATCCAGACACCCATATCTAATGTGAATTGAATATGCAATATGCTACAGAGACTATCTGGAAATCCCATGACTCTTCTAGCAAAATATAGTATTGACTGATGAGACCAAAGTTTAACTTTTTGGCAAAGAAATAATTCTATGTAAGGAGAAGCAAGAGCAGTTTACATTGACATCAAAATTTCATTCCAGTTGTGAAGTATCGTGGAGGAAGAAGCATCATTGTTTTTGTTGAGTTGTTTTGCTTACTCGGACTTGGGACACCTTCCAATCATTAAGAGAACAATGAATAAAAAATGTATTGGGGGGAGGAAGGGGGCACCTGAGCTAACTGGCATACTGTCAAGACACACTTTGCTGCAGCTCAGAGTGAACTGTCACAAACTGTCTGCAAAAGCGGGAGATCTGGTGATGATTTGGCACCTACTGTATCTACTACTTACCTGCAGTCATGGGGCGTCAGAGCAAGAAATGTAAGCCTGATCGACCCCCTACAACAGGCGATATTGGTGAGTTGCTGTGTGTCAGGATGGCGGACTGGTGCCTGGGACCCAGACACTGTCCAGGTGGCAGTGCGTGAACCTGGACCCATGTATGCCTGATGTTCAGAGTAGGAGTCACAGTGTGGAGGTGGATTAGCAGGGTCTGGTGCAGGGTAACCGCACGCCCCCTGGTTTTGAGCACCAGCGTTTGTGCAGCCACATACCAGAACCCTGATTCAGCTTATGCGGATCCCAGGAACTAGGAGCTTGGAATTAAGCAGACCTCCCAGGAGCTGAATAGGGAGGCTCTGCAGCAGGAGTGTATCCAGTACTGAAGCAAGGCAAGACTAGAGATAGGCACCATACATGAACCCAGAACTAGAGCAGGACAGAAAGCAGAACCCATAACATGCACACAAGACATGAGGAAAACAAGAACATAACATGGGCATGACTGGACAGGACTGTACATGGACTGGGATTACAAGACAAAGTAAAACAAGACAAGAGATACAAGGTAAAACAAGAGGAGACATAGCCAAGCACTAAATTTGAAAAGTATGGGGATTTAGTTACATTATATGATCATACATTGCATAAGCCTGCCAACAACGCCAATGTACCCCATGTCTGGCAGGTCCTACACTGCCTAATGCATGCTAAAACAACCATACTAAACCACAATATAGCACTTACCTGTAAGAAAGGGCAGAGGCTTGAAACACTGCTGCAGGTCCAGGCTGAAACAAAAGGAAAGTGGAAACAAACGGGTGTGGCAACATAAAACAAATATTTAAGTGAATCCAACTCAGTGAATGAACTCAGAAACCGAGCAATAAAGAAAACCAAACATAGACCAGAAAACCAGAAAAACCAAGAAAGGACAGCAAAAAGAGTACTAGATACCAGAAGCCATTGCTAGAATGATCCGCAGCGAGGAACAGGATGTGACACTGTGGAGGATGAACTCTTCGCAGAGACCTGTCATGGTGACACTATCAGATGTACCCTTGCACGCTACCAGTGAGGAATCCCTGAATGGGAAGATGGTTCTTGGAGCTCGGCTGGAAGACAGAAATCCTTACCCACCGCCGAAGCAAACTTAAAAACCTCTGGTAATAGAAGACACCTTGCAGGGTCTATTGGATGAGCTGTGCCGAAATATTGCGGCCGACATTTGTCAGTTTTGGGAGAAGATAAGCAGGTCTCTGCACGCCTCTACAGTTTGGAGCTGAATACTGTAGCTCATGAGACCCGCATCTCTGACCTGGAGCAGAATCTTGCCACTTCGCAGCATACACAAACGCAAACCCATGTCCGCATCGCTGTACTATAGGACAAGGGCGCTGGAAGAACATTAAAGTCCGCGGCTTAAGTTTTGAAGTGGCTGAACTTCCATACTTCTTCTGCAGGTTGCTAACTATGCTATTATCGGCCAATCAAGCTAAGACCATGCCTCTGGTTGGCTGGTACCGCATTCCAGGACCCACCACTGGAAGTCGGGCAGGGATCTAATCCTCCGCTTTCAACTAGGCCTAGAAGGAATGCCCCTTATGGCGGCTGTCCACAGCAGGTCGCCCCTTAAGTTCGAGGAGCATACCCTCACCTTTCCCCCGGACTTATCCAACACCACCATGAACTGGCGTTGATCCTTGAGACCGCTGACACAGTGCCGTACAAATGTGGCATGCCTCGTTTTTACTTATACCTTGGGACTCGGGCACACTGAAGGTGTTCAGTTGGATTGGCAACACTATCCTCTGAGACCTCGTCCCCGACGAAGTCTACAACCTGGGATCCGGAGTGGGTCACACCGGGGAGACCGCTTATCCGGAACAGGTGCCCTAGTAGCACCAAGGGATACTGTAGTTTATTCTAAGTTCACTTGTATCTGTATTTGCTTTTGCATTTGTTTAGATTTTGTTTGAATTGATTGCATTTGTCACTATCTTGACTTAAGCAGTGCTACATCGCATACTTATATTTCATACCACCTATACACTGTCTAACAGACTGCTTGCTCTTTTTTGGTCATACCGACGCCATGATTCCCTTCCCACTGCTAGCCAGCACTGATAAGAATAGTGTCATGTTATCATTTAAGTGGGGTAACCAGTCTCCTCGAGTTTCCTAGAGGTACTGTACTCTTGATTATATTAACAATAACTGGGGAAATATACTGCTCCGTGCCCTTTCTTACCTTAGCTACCATTTACCCACCTTATTATGGGCTTTGGATGCATGGTGTTTAGTTTGCCATTATATCTCACATATTATAATATAAAATCCCACAGCCTTAACTACCCACTGGAAATCTATTCCGTGTACAGTATTATGTTGTTTATGTTTACTGAACCCAACTTTTTATGCTTACGGTATTGTATATAGACCTGCTGACTGTGAATAAAGAAAGATTGAAAAAAAATAAAAATGTATCAAGCCAGTTTACAAAATAATGCTGGGGCAATTGTCTTTTACAGTCAATGAACTTAAGTAAGATTGGGTGATGCAACAAAACAATGACTCACAATGTGTCATTAGTTCAGTTATATTGTGTTTTTGTGTAATTGTGACTTTGGTGAAGATCAGACCACATTTTATGAGTAATTAATATTACTTTTAATAGCCTGCCCAGTGAATGACTGCTTAGTGGCTTCAATGTAAAAAAAACAAAATACAACAACGTGTCATTAGTTCAGTAATATTGTGTTTTTGTGTAATTGTGACTTTGGTGAAGATCACACCACTTTTTATGAGTAATTAATACAGAAATCCAGGTAATTCCCAAGGATTCGCAAACTTTTTCTACTATAGATTTGCAAATTTACTTGCTGCACTTAGGACTCTTGTTTTCTGCCTATTGTGTCCATACATTCTATAAATATCATTTTATATGCCACAGCACACATTCACCATTATTCTTCTTAGCTGTCTTCTTTGCGACTGAATAAAAATTTTGCCATGTGATGAGAGATTTTTCAGATGATGGAAAGTAAAAAGTAGACAAGAATACGTGCATATATAATACAGTGGATATTGTCACTTGTTTAAAAAAAAAACAACAAAAAAACTTTTTAAATAGTATTATCTGACTTGCTGCACTTCTAACTCTTGTTCATTTTCCACTGTGTCCATGAGTGCCTTGACAGCCTCTTCAAAGGCCGTGCCAAACATTGTCTATTTTTCTCGTCAATCTTCTTCGAGTTGCAAGAATGCCGATTTCACCATGCACTCGTGTCTTAGAATTTAATTGGAAATGTATTCTGCCAACTGGAAGTCCATTGACAAAACTAATGGCAAACAGAATGGTCGTGTACTGTATATTTGTACATTTGTAAATAGTTTTGCAAGTTTGTAATTATGTTTTGGAAAGATAAACGTGCACAAAATATACATACATGGAGTATTACTTTGTTAAAATGTTAATATGTTTTGTATGGAAAAAGAGAGACACAAAGAAACTTCACCGGCCATACTGTTTGTGTTTGTTGTTGTAACAAAGATGATCATATTTTATATAAAACTACAGGATACTGTATAATAGCTACCAATAAAATAAAGCTGTCCACTGCAATGCTTTCATCTCATACTTTCTTCATGGGATCGAATGTTTACTGGTCATCTGGTCATGGTGTGTCTATGTCTAAGAAAGATAACAGATTAGTGTTAACTCTAATCTCAATTACAGTCGAGTTAGCTCGTAATAGATCAAAAAGTATCATTCAGTGTAAGGAATTGAGGATAGTACTTTATTTAGAGGTCTGCGGGGGTAGATCAAGGAAGTCCATCTAGTGAAACACATGTTAATATATTAGTATTTATTGCGAGACGTCTCTGATCATTCCATATAGAATATATGTTGCAGTATGGGTGGATTTGTATGGGTGGATCCACTGTGTTATGGGCAAATGCAAATATTACAAGTTTTAGAATGAAATGTTGTATTTCTTAAACTGTGTACTTTGTCTTTGTCTTCAAGGACAGTTTTATTATTTGCCGCTTGCAAGGAGTGTAGCAGAACTTGATGTTGACAATGTCCAAAACCGCTCCTCTTTGATTATCCTAAATATCTCCCACAAAGGTGTGAGTTTAAAAGAACAGTCCAAGATTTGAACCACATTGATCTTTTCTCACAAGTGTAGAATAAGTGAACAGTTCCACTGACAATTCATCATATGTGTGTTTTATTCAAAGCATATTGGACATTAATTTGAATTAGAAACACATATCCTGAATTGAAGGGGCAGTGACATAAAGCATAATGAGGAATTTTAAGGGACACCTCAATGAATGTGGCTACTGGAAGAAGTGTATTAATATGGGTTGAAATAGTTGTTACCTCTTAAGGATGTAGCTTGGGAATGTCTCTTGGGCCCCAGCCCTCATGCATACAAATTGAGATGAACAGCTAATCCATATGTGCATTTAAAGGAAACAGGTGGAATAAATGGCCGTGGAGGTATGGCTGGCATGATAATATGACATGATGATACTTTGTGGAGGATATCTCAGATTAATAAATATCTTATCACGTTGCCTGCATATTTCTTCTGAGCTGTCAAGTTATATTCCTCTATACACAGAATGTTAATTCTCCCCAAATTGATCTGTTGTTCTAATTTAAGCAGCACATTGAAGTATTTGTATAGAATATAATAGCCTTTGTGGTTAGGTGGTGCACCACTGGCTAGGGCAGATTTTTTTTTTTTTTTTTATATTAAAATATGTTTTTATTACAGTAATTTCAAGTACAATTGAGAAAACGTTGGAAAAAAAACATACAAAAGAGTGAAAAAAAATAAAATAGCAATATAACAGGGGCAATACCATTAAGGCCATCAGCCATAATACAACACATTGAGGGAAGCAAACAGAAGTAAATAAATAACAGAACATACAATAGTTGCAGCTATCTATGAACTCTCATTATGGAACTAGCACTCCTGTAGCGTCCCAAAATCCCGGTTTGCTTGGATCCATGAGCCCCAAGCCATATAAAAAGATGATGATCAAAGGAAGCCTCCTTCCCATTTATGCACATTCCTACTTGTCCCTTTATTGTAGTAGAGCCTCGAAGCCTAGGAACTCCGTTGAGCAAGCATGTTAAACTTGCGGCACGCAGGTCGCATGCGGCCCACAATGTATATATTTGTGACCCACTTGTCCTGGGGCCACTTTGTGTTGTGGCTGCGACCAGCTGCAAGAAAGGAAAGATAATTCCTGTCTGATTCTTGTCCTCCCTCCCACAGCCGATCGTGTGCTCCCGCAAGCCACCCACTCCCCCTTCCCTCCTGCTCGCAGCGCCAGAGAAACGTCTAGCTTGCTCAAAGCGGCACTGTCATGCCGAACTTACCTTTCCCCAATCGATTCCTCTTCTTTCCCTCTCTCAGGATCTGTTCTTCATTTCTTCTTGTCTGCTCTAGTTTTCTTTAAAACTTAAGAAAAAGTAGGGACTATTTCTCTTATGGAGGTTTCCTACGCAGTGACCAGCGGTGACCAGCGGAGGAGCAAAGTGTGCTTTGTTTCCGGTGGTCACAGCAATTTTCCCACAAACCTTACCTTTCCTCCCTGTTCCCGTGATGCTTCCTGTCACTTAGACAGGATGCCAGCAAAACTGCCAAATTGCGTTCTAACAGTTTCTCCATTCGTGTTAGAACGCAATTCAGGACTTTGTTCGTATCGGAATTTCATTCGAATGAATGAAACTCCGATCCTATTCATTGCCGCAGCTGCATCTTGCAGCCGCTTAGTAGATAACTCCCTAATTCCCACGGTATCAGGGAGTTATCTACTAAAAGGCTGAAAGAAATAAATTGGTCTTTCAGCCACATTTACTAATACTAAGTAAAGATTACTTAGTATTAGTAAATTCAGCCCCTACTCGCTATACCGCGAGTAGGGGCATGTCTGTTAAACAGTGAGCAGCCAGTGGCGGTTGGGGGCCCCCTAAATAACAATGAGGAGGGAGGACCTACTGTCCTCCCTCATGGCCCCCACCCCTGCGTGGTGGGTGGGGGCAATAAATCACAATGGGGGGGACCTATTGTCCATCCCCCCGCCCCCACCCGTGCGCATCGGGTGGGGGCCCTAAATAAGGATAGGGGGAGGGAGGAGCTACTGTCTCACTCCCTCAAATTAATACAGTGCTCCCTCCCTAAAATTAATACACTGCCCACTCAATCCCCAATTTAATACACTGCTCTCCTCCCCAATTTAACTCACTACACAGGAAGGTCCCCCAAGCCCTTCTTGCCCTGCCTTAAAATGAGCCGCCCATCCTCCAGTTCCAGCTCTGCTCTTCTCTGCTTAAAGCGGCACTGTCATGGCCGAATCCTGTTTTTTGTTAACCCCCCTCCCGACTCCACTACATCTAACTGAACCCTTAGTCACCCCCAAATGCCCCTAAGCCCCCTATATTACCTATTTTTAATCTTTATTTTCTGCCCTGATCTATATTCAGGGCGCCGTTATCTTTATGTGGGTAGATGAAGTCCCTGTGGGACACGTCATCTGCCCACACTAGATAGCACTGTGAGATTCCCGCACATGCCCAGTGAAACACTTGGGCATGCGAACGGGAATTTCATCTATTCATTCATTCGTCAGAAAGATGAATGAATGAATAGCATTGTCAGACGAACAAACAAACACTGAATATCAGTTTTCGTTTAGTTTCGGGCAATATTAGTGATATTGCAGAAGGTCTTGATGTTAAGATATGTCTTTTTGCTGATGATACTAAGATATGTAACAGGGTTGATGTTACAGGAGAGATAAACCAAATGGCAAATGATTTAGGTAAACTAGAAAAATGGTCAGAGTTGTGGCAGGTGACATTTAATGTGGATAAGTGAAAGATAATGCATCTTGGACATAAAAACTCAAGGGCAGAGTACAGCATATTTGATAGAGTCCTAACCTCAACATCTGATGAAAGGGATTTAGGGGTAATTATTTCTGATGACTTAAAGGACCACTATAGGCACCCAGACCACTTCAGCTCAATGAAGTGGTAGAGGTTAACAATAAAGGAGTTTAAGCATGCGTGGGATAGGCATAAGGCTATCCTAGCTATAAGATAAGGCCAGAGACTAATGAAAGTATTTAGAAAATTGGGCAGACTAGATGGGCCGAATGGTTCTTATCTGCCGTCACATTCTATGTAATGCAGTTAAGTCTCAGTAAGTAGCCAAGCAGCATATTTCAGGAAAAAAAGGCACAGCAACCACTAAAATATTTTTTAAAGAGAGTATGCAGTTGCAAAAGACATCAGGGAAACCAGTGATACATCAGCTCACTTGCCAAGAAGCTGTGATGATGGGCTTGGAGGAAGGGATTCCTTGACCCATAGCAGGCAGCTTTTTCAAAGGATCATGGAATCATAACAAGAACCGGGGAAGTGCATGGAGATGCGTGTTAAGATAAAGTTGCTGTCAGGCACATTGATGCTGCGCTGCTCTTTTTTGTTGCAGAAGACCTGCACATTTGCTGCTAGGAGGACCAGTTGAAATTGTATAATGTCTTCAGCCCTTGGAAAGGGCTCAATTGCATATAATCCACACTTCACCTTTGCCAAGGTAGTCCTTGCTGTTGGAAAGGAGATGTTCATGCTGATTTGCTGCATCATGGTTAGTGTGATCTTCTTCAGAATGTGGGAGAACACAGGCCAGGAAATGTCCTGGTCCTTCCAAATGTGTCTTGGGAGTACCCAGATCCACAGAAATGGAAGATGCACAGCTGCCTCGCTGTTTGTAAAATTGCTGTGAGGATGATAATGTGTGGTCTCTCTGACCAGCCTGTATCACTGCAGGATTTTGGGTAGGAGTTGAGGAACTGCACCCTGGTCTGGTATATTAAAAGTTGGACTTGAGTCTTTGTTCAACCTAGGTTACTATGTAACAATATCGGGGGTTTCCTTATTCTAGTGTTACCTCTCCATGACACAGCAGCAGCATAGAAGCAAAAAGATGGTCCCTGGTGGCCAAAATATGGGTTCTGACAGTGAACATCTTTTTGTTACTGAAAAACAGTCCATGGATTTCACAAGCAATCTATCTAATTTGCATGATAAATCTGAAGAAATCATTGCAGGACAGGCTCATCTATAGGGGCAGTGCCCCACCAGTTTTTATGTGGGGAAAAATGTTATTGGCCGTAGTTTAGAAACAATAAGATGGTGGTAAGAGGGGAGGGTGGTAAGCCCAAAAATATGGGAATAAATTAGTGTTTTTTTCATTCTGTATTAGGTTTCAGTTCTGTAACCCCCCACCCCCCATCTCCCCCTTCATTGTTAGCTGTTCTAAAAGCTTACTTGAGACCATATAGGCCTGTCAAACAAATTGGGCGGGTTTGATATCTGCCCTGTTTCAGCTGGTTTTGCACATGCCAATTCTCCTATAAGAAGGAATTTCAGTAATTTCCATTGAGTTGCCATTTGGGCAACAGAGCTTGCTGCCCATGAGTGGAGGCATGCAATTGGCATTTAGCGTTTGCAATGGCTCAGAATTATACAAAGTGTAGTTCAACTTCAAGAACATATGAAGTGCACAAGGCTTGGTGCATGGCACGGTTCTATAGTGTTGCCAGTTTGAATGTTTTACATATGTTTGTCTTCTCTTTAATTAGACTGTGGCATCAAAGAGAAGAAGCTCCCAGGTAGCAAGAATACTGCTAGATGGAAAATCAAAGACAACTAGGGTAGGTGTTAAATGTGCTCTCTTGTTATGTCTATTTTTTAATTTTGTATTTTTGCAGTGCATAGGCTGAGTACAGACAAGCTAGACAGGGCCGGTGCTAGGATTTTTGACTACACAGGCGAAGATGCATTTTGACCCCCTCCCTCCTCCCCCCCACAAAAAACCCAATGCATCTTCACCACTGTGTCTCGTAGCCCCCCCATTTGAATTTCTTACCCCCATTAGTGTTGCATAACCACTCTCTTGAATGTCTTACCCCTTTGGCCCCTTTGTGCCTTACACCCCACTTAGTGTGTCTCCTACAACCCCTCTTATGTATTTCTTACTTCCCTGCCCGCTCCTTTCTGTCTCTTTCTGCCCCCCAGCCCTTATCAATCTCTCTTTTTCTCCCATATAGACATAGATACAGGCAAAAATACATACATGCACAAATAAACAAACATACAGACACACAACCATACAAGCACACAGACATAATTATTCAGGCACACAGTCACAAAGATATACAGAAACACAGTCATAAAAGGCACACAATCAAACAAACACAGTCATATAATCTACACATACAGGTAGTACTTTGTCGTACAAACACAGACATACATTCATACAGACACAGGCACACACAGAAATATAGACACAGACATAGAAACATAGAGATAGGCATATAGAGACATACATACACAGTGATACAGAGACATGCATATGCAGATAGTCATAAAGAGACATACAGACAAGGCATACAGAGACATACATACACAGACAAACAAAGAACCCTGCACACTGATACCGTGTAAATGCTCCGGCCATCCACAGTGGTGGATGCTCCGTGTCAGGCGGACATCGCTGGATCCACCAGTAAAGTCTTCAAAAGGAATAAACACAGGCAACACTCCAATAGTAAGGATGGTATATTTATTGATAGGTGAACCACCCATAGAAAGTGTGACGTTTCGGCTCAGCAGAGCCTTAATCATGCAATAAGGCGCTGCTGAGCCGAAACGTCGTACTTTCTTTGGGGTGGTTCACCTATCAATAAATATACCATCCTTACTATAGGAGTGTTGTCTGCGTTTATTCCTTTTGAATACATACATAGACAGTCATACAGAGACATACAGACTGTATGTCTCAGTATGACTGTCTGTGTATGTATATCTGTGTATGTACACAGGATGGCTAAAATATAGATCTCCATCTGTCGTGCAACTTCAACAATGCTTTGAAAGCTGGGGCTCTACCGATTCCCCATGCTTGCAGGATTGTATTTAGCATGGAGCAGTATTTGTGTGTTTAACTGTAAGCATGTGTTTGTATGGAGTATGTTTGTGTGAATGTAGGGGTGTGTTTGTATGTAGTGTTTGCGTTTGAATGCAAGCATGCATTTATGTGTAGTGTTGGTTTTTGAATGCAGGTGTGTGTTTATATATAATTTTGGTGTCTGATACAGAGGTGTGTTTGTATGTAGTGTTGACATTTGAATGCAGGTGTGTGTTTGTATGTAGTGTTGATGTTTGCATGCAGATGTTTATTTGTGTGTAGTGTTGGTGTTTGAATGCTGAGATGTATGCACATATACACATACACTGCCACACACACACATTCTGTGATACACATACACGAAGATACACACACTGACCCACCTGCAGATACGCATATTACAACCTGATATTACAAACTGATACACATTCAAATAGACACACAGATACATACACATATACAGATACACACAAACACTGACAGACATACAGATAAACACACACTGACATACAGACACACTGACAGACACACAGATACACACTGACAGACATACAGATACACACATACACAATGATAAACATACAGATACACACACAGACACACTGACAGACACACTGACAGACATAGACAGACACACAAACAGACACACTGACAGGCAGACATACACACACACACACACACACAAAGACACACTAACAGACAGACATACACACACACACTGACAGACATATAGATACACACAGACACACTGACAGACAGACATATACATACACAGACACACTGACAGACAGACATACACACACAGACACTGACAGACAGACATACAGGCACACTGACACACACACACACACACACACACACACACTGGTCAATATATACACTTTTCTTGCCACTCTCCTGTTTCCTACTTTATGGGTTCAGGAGGGTGGCTTATCTGGGATCCAGAGGGCTGCCTGAGGTAGTTGGGAGTTGGATGAGCTAGTCCTGCCCAGCCCCCCTCCTCTCTGCCTTCTCCTGCTCTTGCTGCTCTAGTCTTCTTGGGAGGAAGTCCTCCAATGCTGATGAGAAGGAGGCCGGCGGTAGCTCCGCCCCTGCTGGGCGCCAGCCGCGCTGTGTGCTACAGAGGGAGCAGGGATATGACGCCATCTTGGGATTTTTAGATGCACTGTGTGATCTGCTCAGTGGAATAGAACGCTGGTGTAGCTGACTGCTTTCCAGGGGGGGACCGGGAAAATCCCCCGCCGGTCCAGAGTGGGGGGGGGGGGTTTGGAAAGTCGTGTTTATAGAAGTTTAGTTTAGCGGGAGGAGAGCGGCCGTCTCTCCCCCGTTCTGACTCCAGTAAGCCTTAACCTGCCGCTGCGGTTCTCGATGCCTCAGAGCATTGATGAAGGTATCCACAAGTAGAGTAAGGTGCCCCCAGCATGGGATTGACCTTGAGCAGAGGTCTCCAAGTTGCCAGCCCGGGATATCACAGGGTAATCAGCGTTTGCAGCAGGAGTTCGTGTGATGCACTTCTTGCCTGCTTGCAGTCCAGGCTCCGCCCCGAACCATTATTTCGTACATGCCTTCAAATCTGTAATAGATTTAGATTCTGGGAAGCGGACACAAAGGTAATTTCAAATGGCTAGACATGTGCAATTAGTTCCGGTCCAAATGTGAATTCGGACGAATTTTGGGCAATTCGGACATTCGGGTACTTCCGACTGTCCGAATAGATGAATTGCCGAATTGTTGAAGTTATGAAATTTCCGAATTTCCGAAGTGTCGAAGTTGCAGAAGTTGCTGAAGCACAGTGTTACGGCTCCCCCGGTAGGAGAGGGGTTACTGCCGTAGAGGACGTTACCTTACCGAATGCAGAGGTAGCCACTGAGCGCTCCAAACTGCCGAACCGCAATCACACGAACTCGTTGGTCTCCAAAAACAGCCGAATAACAATCACACGAATCAGTCAGTCTCCCAAATAGTCGAACAAGCATAATCCATACGAAAAATCCCCCCAATGATGAGACAAAGTACCGTATTGAGGGTCAACAGGAATCTCTTTTACTGAGGGCTACCTGCCTGGTATTTATGCAGGTCTCCCACCTGGTGGACACTCCCCTAGGGGACCAGATGGGAGACTGTGACAAGGACATTACAACAACCAATCAGAGTGTTACACATGTAGCCATGCCCCTTTAATTACCCAAGACCCTCTGCTCTGCCCGGGAGATAATTGTAAAGTAATTCAATTATCTGCCTGGACGGAGACCAAATGCCATTTTAAATTACTATAACAAAATGCATAAAAATATATAAATTTACAATAACTGGACATAATACAGGCATTCAACGTGTCCCCAGATATCTGGGATCTGAGCGTACAAAAGTACCGAATAGCGCTCAGATCCTATGTACACAGTCCAATCGCCGTGGAGTCAAAGTGTTCACAAAGTCTGTTCTCTATACGAATAGACTCCACGGAATGGCTATCGGGGGTATGGCTTATTCGTGGACAAAATACCGAATACAGGGATTTTCGGGAGTTCTCTACCGAAGAAGAAGGGAGGTCGGCGGCTTCAGCGGTGTTCGGGCCAAAAGTGTCCGTTTTGAGTTCCATGGGTTTACTGTCGAACACCGCTGAGCGTTTGCGGATTTAAAATGCCCCCGACCTCGTGTTCGGGAAACGAATGGCGGCCACCCAGCTACAGGCATCAATTAAAAGGTGTCTGCGGTTAACCTCAACGTTCAAATGGGGCCAAGAGGTTAACCAGCAGCACACTTCTCTACTGGGTGGCTGGCCGTTCGGGAGTTTTATTCGGTAGTAAAAAAAAGGCAATGGTATAGAGTCCAAATGAACGGGAAAACATTAATTAAACCAGTGAATGAACGATAAGTCTCTGTAAGTTCAAGACAGAGAGATCTGTCACACACAGTATTGCCTAAGAACTAATATACTTACCCAGTGGAAGAATGTTTTAAATAAAAAGTATACAAACATAGCCAGGATTCAGCTGTAAGCATTGGCAACACTTACAACAATCAAGTAACATACATTCATATAAAATGTAAGTTACTTAGCCAGTCGATGTAATGACAGGAATGAATAAGTAGATAACTCCGTAATTCCCACGGTATTAGGGAGCTATCTACTAAAAGGCTGAAAGACCTAAATTGGTTTTTCAGCCAAATTTACTAATACTAAGTAAAGATTACTTAGTATTAGCAAATTATGCCCCTACTCGCTATACCGCGAGTAGGGGCATGTCTATTAAACAGTGAGCGCTGTGTAATTTGACTCATAACTCTCTGATTGGTGGATTGAAAGTAACCAATCAGAGAGTTATGAGTCAAATTACACAGCGTGGGAAAATTTTCCCACGTTGTGTAAAATGACACAGAGCACTCTGATTGGTGGATTTCAAGCCAACCAATCAGAGTGCTGTGACAGGTAAATGTAGAAACTTACCTGTCAGTCTCTTCATTTATCTATCAGAGGACTATGATTGGATGGCTTAAACCCACCAATCAGAGTGCTCTGAGCCTAATTGCAGGGCGGGACAAGGCTTTATAAGCCTTCCCCCGCCCTGCAGAGCTCAGTCTGCACGGAGCCATCCATGGGTGAAGAAGGATTTTTTTTTTTTTTTACGTGCACTGGTTATTATGGATTTTTTATTTGGCCTTTTTTGGGGCTGAAAAAATAAGATTTTAGAAGAAAGAAAACATCAAATGGTAAGTTTTTTTTTTACAGGTACTTAGTTAATGGTCCCCCCGCATTATTTTTAGAGTGAGGGGGGTAGGTAGGGGCTAGTTTTTTTGGGGAGAGGAGTGACTAGGGGTTTGGGGACCCTAGTCACCTGGGGGAGGGGGGGTTAATTTTTTATTTAGGGCCAGGGGTGGGAGCCAGGGGGGAGGACATTAGGTCCCTCCCCCTTATTCTAATTTAGGGCCCCCACCCACCGTTCAGGGGTGGGGGCCAGGGCAGAGGACATTAGGTCCCCCCTTATTAGTATTCTGGGCTCCCACCCACTGCTCAGGGGTGGGGGCCAGGAGGGAGGACATTAGGTCCCCCCCATTCTAATTTAGGGCCCCCACCCACCGTTCAGGGGTGGGGCCTAGGGGGAGGACATTAGGCCCCCCCTTATTAGTATTTAGGACCCCCACCCACCGCTCAGGGATGGGGGCCAGGGGAAGGACCTTAGGTCCCCCCCCTTATTCTAATTATGGCCCCCACCCACCGCTCAGGGATGGGGGCCAGGGGAAGGACCTTAGGTCCCCCCCTATTCTAATTTAGGGCCCCCACACACCGCTCAGGGGTGGGGGACAGGGAGGACATTAGGTCCCCCTCCCTTATTAGTATTTAGGGCCCCCACCCACCACTCACGGGTGGGGGCCAGGGGGGAGAAAATAGGTTCCCCCCATCATTTTACTTTAGGGCCCCCACCTGCCGCTCAGGGGTGGGGGCCAGGGGGGAGGACATTAGGTAATTTTTACTTAGTATTAGTAAATTTGGCTGAAAGACCAATTTAGGTCTTTGAGCCTTTTGGTAGATAACTCTCTAATACTGTGGGAATTAGGGAGTTATCTACTAAGCGGCTGCAAGAGAAGTTCTGAGGTGTTGAAGTTGCCGAATTTCCGATGTCCCGAATTGCAGAAGTCCCAAATTTCAGAATGCCGAACCGAACCGAACCGAAAATTTTCCCCATGCACATGCCTACAAATAGCCTCTCAGAACCTGCTGTACTTATTTCAAGCTATCCACGGGTCTTCTTCTTATGTCTACTTAATGTTTATTGTGTTTAGCTATGGTATGCATAGCAATGGTGTACACACAGGAGGGGACATGTGAGAGGGCGGTGCACCAGGCACCCTATCCTGCCTGTAACTCTTTGTAGCATGGATTCACTGGACTGCAGTATAGAATTTTCCATTAAAAAGTGTTCAGGTGATTCTAGAAACAATTACACTACAAATAAAGTGCAAGTGCAGTGCTAAACATTAACATGACCCTCACAATCACAGTACATAACAAGGTAAACAAGCATATATTGTAAATGTCGCAAGTCAACGCATGCAATGGAGAACCTCTCAAAATTGTGGATGGTGTGCAGAAACAAACCTCCCTTCAGTTTCCAACCCAGGTGCTAGAGCATTCTTCTGGACCATGGATATGGTGAGAAATAGCACTCTCTCCTCAATTACTCATAGATAAATTCAAAGACTTCCTCCCACCACTGCTGTGTCTCCTTCATCCAGATCCCTGATGTAGGCAAGTCAGCGGTCATCTTGGTTCACTCTTGTTAGGTCCAGGTTTTTGTCTACCCAGAGACCATGTAGTAGGGTAGGCCTCTCTGATGGGGACTGGGATAACCTCCACTATTTATTTATTTTGCACAGTTGTAGTGGCACTACACAGTTATTCAAATCCAGTGTCATTAAAACATGGCTCTAATAGTAACTTTTTTAACTTGACTTTTAAGGTTATTCCAAGGAAACATTCATCCAATTGTGGTTTCTGATTTACAATATGAGAAAAGCTTGTTAGATCTTTTCAAATAAGTTTAATCATTCTGTTGTCATTTTCAAATTCCTTTTCAAAAGATGTGCTGAGAGACTCACAACCAGTTGACTTTGAAAGATCACCACACCAAACCGTCAGACATCTATGAAATATATATGTAGGCACCAAGTGGTGACCTGGCAAAGGTTTGACTCTAAAGTGAGTCTATGTCAGTCCTTCCCAAATTCCTGGTTTGATTGTATAACTGTATTACTTTTACTTTATTGCATTATTTGTATGTGTACTATTACTTTAATATTTGTTTCAACAAATCTGTTGTATCTTTGTTTTTTGTATAGAGAATCCAAATGCTTGAAGAAATGATTAAACCGTTTAGAGTTCAACCATGCTTCATGAATGACCCAATCATTAAAAGCCAAGATCTTCTTGAAAGAACACCTGCTTTAAAAAAGGGTCCTCGGGACATTGAAAATACTGTCTGGTGCACATGTCAAAACTGCTGTGTGGTGGAAATGGAGGATGAGCACGGATGCTGTCATGGGGTGTCTAGTTTAAGGTTACTTTTGAACGAAGATAAAGTTTGCATTACCAGCCACCCATTCTTCCAGGAGATGTGTTTGGACCATGATCGACTCGACTTCCTCTATCGTTTCTGGGGCCAGACATCAAAAAAAGAGGAAGTTCTCAATTATATACAGTAAGTCGTAAAGTATTTTGCAATTGTTTCTGTTTTGTTTTGTTTTTGTGTACATTAAGGCCCTTATATCAAAATGAGCTAATTCATTTCATTAGTGGTTTAAAATCTCAGCAAATGAACTGTAGGTGTGATGTTTGATTTGTGGAGATTGGAAATATTCCCTCTGTTAATTGTTGAATTGAGTAAAGTCATCAACAATTGAATTGATAATCTTGTTATCTTGTCCTAGGAGAAGCAATAAATTATAAATGGTAATGTGTAAAGATACATTGTTTCTGTCTGTTGTAATGAGTGAGTTGTTTACAAAAGAAGAATGCACCAAGACATCCTGATTTATTCATGCTGTGCTATCATTCTTTATTGAATAGTATGATCTTATATCCTGTTTATGTCTTACAATGTACCCCAGTATTTAGGAACACTGGTTAGAATACTCTCTGATTTGCTGGTTGGTTCGTCAATGACTGTTAATCAATGTGTCAACACAGCTGCTCATGTACATGTGGCTGCCCCGACCCCATATTCCTATTTTTATTTAGTTTTCAGTAATTAGTAGATATAATATACATTGACAGGGCACATGCTGACCAGTATGTTTATATGTAGGAGGCCTACAGATCTACTTGAAAAATTAGAAACACATAGTTATAAGAAACTGTGTGCAATGCAACAGGGATCCCTCATAGCCTACGCAGTGAAGTAGTTATATTGCTTGGGATGGAATTGTCTGTTCATTCGTAGTGTAGGTTAATAGTTTTATTCCTTACAAAGAGAACATATACGTCCTGGTAGTGAATAAAAAACACCACCACGACGTACGAACAGTGGGTTAACAGGGTAGCAGAAAGGCATAACCCTACACATACTAATTAGAGAACAAAAAGAAAAGAGGGAGGATCCTCCCGAAACTAAACGAGCGGAATCCTCCCACTATAGCTACCCCGAAATATATAGATAAATAAGTGAGCTGGTAGGCGAAGGTACTGCCCCACCGGGATACCCTTCAGGGGTCGTGGGTGGTAGCTCCTCCAATGTAGGAGGGAATTAGTAGCTGTTTGTTTACTAAATAAGGTTGATTGGAATGTGCCATCATCCTTAATACTAATCGTTACATCTAAAAAAGTGCGCAGACTTTTTTGGATGCACACGGCCACCGTAATACTCCCAATTCGAATTGGGAAAGTGAGGAAACTCTTCTATTGGCGGACTGAGTTTTAGTACACCGCTGGAATCAATTAGAGGAGGAGGGAATCCCTTTATAATAGGTGAAGGTGAGCAGGGTTTTTTTGCTTTACTTTATGCCCTTGAGAAAGGCGGTCTGTCCGCCGAAACGCACGTTGGGCTATTAGCGATATTAGTTATTAGTACCTTGGTTCACCTTATATTTATTTATTTTATTTTAGTGCTGTGCCCTGTTGCTGTAGCGAGTAGCCGGTCTCTATGGTGCATTATAGAATTGGGGATACTTAGAGTGGAAGTGTTTCCTCTCTTTCTCTGAGGACCTTACTGGGGACTTCTTTCCCCTCTTTATTTTTCCATATGTATTCTCTCCTCTGTCCTTTCGATTTCCCTGATATATGGTAGAATCTTAGGACATTTATATATCATATCGTTATTTGCAGTAGGCCATAGCATTTATCTATCATCCACAGTATTTATTGTGAGGATAGCATGATACATCGTTTCCATTATTCATTACTATATTTGATACATTTTTGGTAACTTTGTCTCAGGGCCCATATTGATTGACTGATTAGTGGATGATTGTGGGTATTTTTTCAAGGTACAATACTACTGTCATGCTGTCCTTTTCTTTGGGACATTTAAACACATATTCGTTATACTTTATTCAATTTACTCTGGTTATACCAGCTCACTTATTTATCTATATATTTCGGGGTAGCTATAGTGGGAGGATTCCGCTCGTTTAGTTTCGGGAGGATCCTCCCTCTTTTCTTTTTGTTCTCTAATTAGTTTTATTCCTTATCTAACATTACCATAAATGTTTTGCAGCAAGCTCAGAAGAACCGCATATAGGGCCTTCATGGTTTGGGCACATGGTTTCTTGGACCGTCGCAACCCTAAACCTATCCCGGCATGTGTGGTCAGCACCGTAAGAGCTTCTTTGCCATACCCAGAAGAGCTAAATGTTGGTTTTATGAAGATGTATGATTATCCAGCGGCTATAATGGCTTTGGGCTAACAGTTCCCTTTTAAGCTTTTACTTTGATATGCAATTTTTACCTATTAAAGTACACATATTGTGTTATCTTGTATCTTGTTATTTGTTATTGAAAAGTCACCAATTTAGTAAAAAAAATACTTCAATCAGTTCAGTTTGTAATGTTAAAGAAAAGGTAATGTTTTAATTCTCACATTTAAGTTATGGTACATAGAGTATCCCTTTAAACCTGTTTCCGTTTTGCTTCATAAGGATAACAGCACAAAACATTTATCAATTGTTATGACTTAAGACTTATTTATTTCACTTTTTTTTTTGTGATACAGTACTTTATGTACTTATAATACACAGTATAATATATGCATTTTCTTCTAATGTAACTATCAATAAAAAATAAAAAGTTGATTAAAATGTCTGATTGATAATATTAGATATGCTGAAAGTGGAGTATACTGATTTTGTACATTGAATTCAGCTTACAGTTTAGCTACAGTTCTGCCAGAGAGCCAGTGGTTGCTTCAGAATTAAGATGATTAATCCCTGTGACCTACTTCACACGCAGGCCATGTAACTACATGAATAATGTAGCAATATCTCCAATCTTGGTAATTCCAAGATATGTTGCATTCATGACCCACCACAGTATGATAAAATAATAAAGAGTAAAACTTGGTGACTTGTGTCTTTAATTGAATTCAGTTTGCAAAAAAAAAAAAAAAAATCCTCAGTACTCCATACCTCTTGAAAACAAGATGATTTTGAAGAAGCAATATTGAGAGTTCCAGCCCATGAGAGTTCCAGCCCATGAGAGTTCCAGCCCATGAGAGTTCCAGTCCATGAGAGTTCCAGCCCATGAGGAACTTCTGATGGTTACATGAGGATGAAGAAGCATCAAATGGAATATTAAGAATATTCTCTTCCTCTGGATCCATTGAGCCAGAATTTCATAAAAATTCATGAAAATGTTCCTTTAAAATAGGAATGATAATCAATAACCTGGTCATATTCACACAGACACCTGTTGCTGGTCGAGATTCACTAAATACCTGTAGATGTGTGATACTACCATCTACATATTTTTGCATCTACATATATGTACATACTGTATCTACATATTTTTGCATTTGCAAAGTATACAAAACACGAGACACCATTGTAATAAAGTTTTTGCTATCCTGTAATTGAGACTGCTACAAAGAGATATTCTATAACTACACCCCCAGCCCTTCTTCCACTGTACAAGACTCGTATGAAACTTGAAGGGGTTCCTTCATGAAACTACATATTGTGCCAAGTTGAAACATAAATTGCAAGTGTCAGTCAAAAACACTTAAGCGTGACTAAGTTGAGCTGGAGAATTTTTCCAGATCAGCTATTTTAGCCTCAGTTTGCCACTCGAACTTTAGGTGAAATTTGGTGAATATTCACTTAAGAATTGTTTTCTGCAACTCCACATTATGCAGGTAGGTGGCACTATGTGCAGAATAGCCCTATCGTATTCACTAAGGTTAGAATATGAAGTAAAAGTAAATTTCAAACCTTAGGTCAGAGCAGCCCAATTGCAAAAAAAGTCAACGATGCTCTTAATTCAGCTACTCTGGCCTTAAATTTGAAATTCACTTTGAATTCGTGACAATTCTCACTGTTGTAAATAACCCTGACAGTTTTCATACAAAGTATCGGTTTATGATAATTGAGCATTTTTCAGAAGTGACTTGTTTTTTTCAGTTTTATAGTTGCAACGGGTCGAGTTAATTTAGATTATTACATATATTATTATTATTGCCATGTATATAGCGCCAACAGGTTCCGTAGCGCTTTACAATATTACACATAGCAGTGCATTGTGTGCAATACATGAGTTTAGTAAATGTCACTATTTTTGAAAGCCATTAACTGAGCAAATTCCAAATTATCTGAGATTTACCCTACATTTATGACCAACATGCTGCTGGCCTGCTGCATAAAATAAAATGAATGATGTGTAAATAATAGGTAATGAGGCAGAACTGCCCAAAGTTACAAAATATACTATTAATAACGTAATATGCAATACTGTCATTTAAAAAGGTGTGTACATATTTATTTTGTAACTAAAATAGCTGCAAATTATGACCTTCCCATCCAAACACATAAGCAAAACAATAGGTAATTTACATCTGCTAATAGACACTGACAAAACCTGATTTACAATCTTCACAATTACTAATAGGTGATAGGTTCCCCCCTCCAGGGCTGAAAAGGTTAAAACCAATGTCCCTTGGCGCTGGGTCAGGCACCGCCCACGCCCTTCCCTAGCCGACATAAGCCAGCGGGGAGACCTAATGCGCATGCACGGCAATGGCCGCCTGCGCATTAGACCTCACCATAGGAAAGCATTATTTAATACTTTCCTATGAGGAAAATCTGACGTTGGAGGTCCGTGAGGACATCCAGTGTCCTATAACGGACCAAAAGTCTGTTAGGATTCCTGTTTCTGGTAGACAGCTACTGGGGGCAGTTTCAGAACTGCAATGTTTAACATTGCAGCACTAAGTGCAAAAGGGTCACAGTACCCAGACCACTTCAATTAGGTGAAGTGGTCTGGGTGCCTACAGGGTCCCTTTAAGCTGGTGTACAACCTATTTGGTATTTCTATGGACCTCTGTCTGTGTCTGTCGCTTGCCTTTGGCTTTTGTGTCTTTTAAAAAAAAAAAAAATGTATAACATTGTTCATTTATTTTGCTCTTGAATTCCTAACATGTTCCTGATTATTCTTTGTAGTGACTGTGAAGCTGAGCCTGTCTGTATATCTGGTAGCTCTATTTTGCTTTGTTTTTAACTGCCCAGTATTCTGCCTAAAGTTTGCGTCTGTGTTGGTTTTATTACAGAGCACACATGTGGAATGGTAAAACGGCGAATGATGTGGTGTAAAAAGGGGAATGATGTGGTTAAATTGGGACAGTGATTACAAGCAGAATACAATACAGCACTTTTAAATACAATTTACCAATTGTTATTTAAGGTACTGCCAAAGTACTATCTAGAACACATTGCTGAATAGCTTAATGTTTTAATATCACCAATAATGATTAAGGAGTCGTTGGAGGAACATAGAAATTGCATTGTAGAGAATTTATATATTGGAAGCGTTCAACCTAAGTGGGTTGTGCAAATATGTTTTAACAGAATAATAGGATCAGGAAGGGCAAGCAGAACAACGTGTAATTTTGATTAAAAAACTAAATGTAAACAGTTAAAATACTGTGAAAACATACCCCCAAAAGATCAGATTTCTCATATATTTAACAACTTCTTTGGAACCGTTATAAATACCAGAGGGGCTTTGCAAAGGGGTGTATGCCCCAAAGAATATGTGTCTACAAATGGACATCATAACTACAAAACTGGCAAAAAGATTTACAGATATTACTATACAGTGTATATATTCTGTACAAGCCCCTGATTTTGTAAAAATTAAAGTGGCATGTGTGAGCATTAAACCAGGTTAAAAATTCTACACTGAGTCAATACTCAAAAACAAGACTTGATTGTATTCAGCTTTGCAAACTAGGACGTGTATATGTAGCAATCAAAAAGTTTCATTACTACAGAGATATGCCCAAAACATTGTGGTACAAATCCGACTGATCCAAAGGTTCACAGTACAGTGGCCAACATTCTGTAAAACCAACCAGCGAGCCGCAAGTTTGACATGCTTACTAAGGCAGAGTAGGCACCTGCTCTCCCCACATTGCAGGTGCCTACTCTGCTCAAATTAACCCGGCCGGGGAGGAGAGGTAGCTGGCGGCAGCGAGGGAGCTCAGTCTTCCTGCTCCACACTGCTCCCTCGGGCGCGCAGTCTGTAGTGATGCCGGGTGCCGGAATATGACGTCATTCTGGCACCCGGCATCACTAAACTGCACGCGTGAGGGAGCAGTGAGGAGCAGGTAGGGGACCTCCCGAAAGAAGATCCCCACTGGACCTTAGTGAGAGGCCCCACACCAGCTCCCAAAAGTTGGGAACAATAAATAAAATGATGTGAGTGTGTGCATGAATGTGTAAATGTGTGAGTGTGTGTCTGTCAGTGTGTGTGCCTGTCAGTGTGTGTGTGCGCCTGTCAGTTAGTGAGTGTCTGTCAGTGAGTGAGTTTATGTGTGTCTGTCAGAGAGTGAGTGCGCGTGTCTGTCAGTAAGTATTTGTTGGTCAGTGTTGCAATGCATGACGTCAACGTGCTTCATCTTCACAGGGTTTTAAGGAATAGCGGGAGGATCTGTTTTGGCACAGGGTGCGGACGGCGCCATTGGGGGTATACCAGAAGCTGGACTCCGGAGTCGCATTCTGGCAATGGCAATGTGAGTGGAGTCTGCTTGTTGGCTAATATTTTTTTTTTAAACAAGGGCCAGGGTTTAGTAAAGGGGGTACTGGGACTTAGTAAAGGGGGTGGGGGGATTACTGGGATTTAGTACAGAGGGGGGGAAGGGACTGGGATATAGTATAGAGGGGGGGACTGGGGTTTAGTAGTGGGGGATGCTGTTTTTTTTTAGACTGCACTTTTCAAAACAAACCTAAGTTTCTATGAAAATTTAAGTTTTAATTTTTTTCAGCCCACATAAACTTAAACCTTGTTTATTTGGCCCATGCGAGCCTTTGAATTTGATATGCTTAGTGTCAGGAATACATATTTTATCATTTGAAAAGAGTTTCTACCAAATTGTGATAATTTGAAAAGCGTATAAAAAAAAGAATTAAATAGAAACAAATGTACCGGTAAGTACAGATATGACCAGTGAATTATTATTTGAAGGTTGACTGATCACTCTAACTCTTGATTAAAAATAAAAATCATATATTAACAAGAAAGGCATTCATCTTATCACTGCTATATCCACTGGATCAGAAGCTGTAGCAGATATGTGTAAAAGGTAGAAATTTATAGACATAGGTATATTTTTAACCTAAATTACTAAATTAACATTGCCACTTTTCTTGCGACTCATAAAACTGTCTTATAAGGTTATTCACTAAATTAAGAATTCAAAGTGAATTTCAAACTGTCGAAACTGGAAAAATAGTCAGCTATGCTTCCAGTTCCGCTACTCAACTCATATTTGAAATCCACTTTGTATTCTCACGTTAGTAAATAACCCTGTTAGTTGGCAGAGTAGGTGAAATAGTTTAAAAGGTCAGTTGAGATCTGAGCATTTTTCACATAAAAACACAGTCAGATGTCATTTTCAGTTCTGCACATTTTCCTACTTGTAGCGTTGAATTCTACAAACATGTTTTTTTTTGTATTGTGCGTTAATATGTGTGATATGTGTCCAGTGAAACATGGCAGACCTACCAACCCTGCTACTAGAGTACCTACAGGAATCCTCTTGCAATTTTAAAAGTATCATTGAGTGAATAATGTCACAATAAAGAGATTATTTACTAAAGTGTGAACTGTTAGGTATTAAAAGAAAATTTAAAATTCAAGGCCAAACTAGCTAAACTGAAATCATAAATGTGCTCTATTATTATTATTATTATTGGTATTTATAGAGCACCGACTTATTCTGCAGTGTTTTACAATTTTATAAAAGGGGGGAAATGTAACAATAAATAAGACAATTATAAAATGATACAGGAACAATAGGTAGACGAGGAACCTGCTCAAAGGAGCTTACAATCTGGAGGAGGTGGGGTATAAAAGCACAGTAGGAAGTAGTGTGTGTTTTATTCACTAAACACTAATTTGTAAATGTAGAAAGTGGGGCGATTCACCCCACTGCATTCTATCAATCCATCTTCCTCGTTCACAGGTATCTGGATAATAATCTCAGAAAATAGAGTCTGCTGTTTGTATCGCTTGCACCCTGTAATAAAATCTCTTAATAATCTACACAAAGCTTAAAGTTCAAAGTGCATCAGGGTAAAAGTCACAACCTTATCTAATGCTTTACTCAGGGGAGAAAAAAAATACAATATATACATATGAAAAATAAATATCTATCTATCTACCTTTATCTTTCTATATATAAATAAATAATAAAATAATAATAATAAAAAAAAACAAAAACAAAAAAAAACAAAATATATATATATATATATATATATATATATATAAATAAAAGTGCTGGATTGCACAGTATCTACCTACACAACAGTAGCTTGTATCAATCACTTAAAAAAAGGTAAAAAAAATAAAGTCCGTTGTTTTTTTAAATCTCAATATAATAACAATAATAAAATGTGATAGAGCCTATTTTTTGTCTTTCACTGTAACACTACTAGTAATACTATCCCACGTGTTCCTGCGGTGGCTCTGTCGCCTGATGCTGGGAGTGTGGTCACATGACTCTGCCGGGGAGGCTCTCTGGGTAAAGGGTAGGAAGAGAGGAAGTGTTGGAGTGTTCTCTGTCTGTCATTGTGTGCTGCACAGTAACCTGGCAGGTAAATAAATATTCTCTGCACAGTCTAACTAGGTGTTAACTTCAGGCTCTGCTGATCGAATGTTACCAACATTGCTCTGATTATAGCTCTATAGACGAATGCAATGCAAAGGGGATGTGTGGGTGTGTTTATAAAACTTAAATTTTATTGGGAGGCAGAAGGTATGATTCTCTGTGCCAGGGTGACACACATTTAATTGCATATTATTATTATTATTATTATTATTATTATTATATAGTTCAGATAGTTTATTATTTATCCTGCTATATACTCTTTGGGAAGTAATGGGCACTTTATTATTTAATTCAAAGGTTAGAAACAATGCCCCTCACCACCCTCTTACAAAAAAATAAAAATTTTTTTAACAAAATGGTGATGTCAGGGTTAACTGGGAACTTGTTACTGCTCACTGTTTCTGTGAGGGGATATAGAAGTTTATATTATATGACTTTTAGATCATTGGGTTTCAATCAGAGTGCCTTTTGAAAGTTTTCTTAGAACTTAATGACTTCAAAGTTAGAGGAGCTTCCTGAATGCGCTCTCCTTAAGAATAGTTTTTTTTATTTCTTAATGTCAACTTTCAGAATGTGTTTTGCCATCAGCCAGTTAATTAAAACTCTGGCGCAACCTTTATCTCTCTGTCGTGAATTAATTAAAATTAGCAGGTCAACTTATCGAAACGTCTGCACCGTGCGTGCTCAATACTTCTGTAGTGAGGCTGCTAGTAAATGTTTTCTAATCCGCTGCTGGTAAAATAAGTATGTGTGCCTTGAACATTTTCATTTCATTGAGCTGTGCTTTGGTCCAATAAAAAAAAATTGGAAAATTGAGTGAGGCCCTCCCCACCTTCTGTTGTACTTCCAATTTAGCATGTTGCAACTACTTGTGTGTTAGTCCACATATTGCACAGTGCTGTGGATTATATTGGTGTTTAATAAATCATATTAGCAGCTACTAAGCTACATAATATATGCTACATTTGGCATAGAACATGGAGTCGCTCAGATTTCACATAGAGATGCTCGAGCTCTACACCAGATGCTCCTGACCACAGTGCCTTTAAGTGGCTGGCCGCAAAAGGCAACTAACTGTGTTTTTTTTTTTTTATTCTTTATTTTTCACGTGCACAAGATATTTTACATGCTGGAAAATGCCATATTAGCTGAAACAAGTGTAATAATAACAATCATCGTTGGTCAAAGATATGGCTATTTGTAGACTGCACATTTTTAATAATTAAACGTTGGCCCTAAAAGCATGTATGGATGTCTAGCGTGCCATTACAGTGGCGACATAGTGTGTGCGGTGGGCAGTGAGTGGTCTGGGCAATGTCGTGCAAGTTACTCCTGCTGCTAGTGTATGCCTTGTCTAGTGGTCTATCATGTACCCGGCAGTCCGCCTGTCTAATATGTGGGGACTATTTGATGTGGAACGCATCCTTGAGGGGGGGGTCGAGGGTCTGTCAAGTAGGTTAGTGTCCCCTGGGGGGTGGAGGGGATGCAGGCGTGGGGACGAAAGAGTGAGTGGGCTCCACATGGCCTGGTCTCTGTCGGTGAGCTATGTGGGTGCAGAAGTTAGGGAAGCAGTGGGGCTGCTTAGTGAACATCATTTGTGAAAATAATTGTGTCCCGAGGTCGGTTCCTTTAAAGCCTGTCCTGGTGAGTCTAGGGCAGCCATTAAAAACATATAAGGAAGCATATCAGAAAGTTTAAAAATAATAATAAGAGAAGAGCCATTAATCAAAACTATGAAAACAAAAATACATAAAAACCATCAGGGTTCTTTCTGGGTGTTTTTGCAGTGCCTCCATATGAAGTTAGAGGTCCTGTATTATGGGAGAATGTCCTGGTGCGAGTGCTGGGCCCTCATGTGGTCGCCGCTGCGCACTCCGGTTTTCCTGTACCCTGTGGGATGAAGGGGATTGTCTTCACTGGATCCCATCTCGAAACCGTTGCTGTTGTTTCCGGTGCAGTGGTGGGCGGCAGCCCCTCCAGAGGCAAGCCCAGCGTTCGCAGCAAGGTGGGTGCTTCTTGGATGTCTGAAATGGAGTAGGCCTTGTTGTCTTGTTGTATGTGTAGAGTGCGCGGCATGCGCCAGCGGTTGGTAATCTGTTTCTCTCGGAGCAGTTTGATGACGGGTAGCAGGGACCTGCGCCACTGTAGAGTTTCCCCTCACAGGTCTGCAAAGAAGGACAAAGTCATTGATTCAAAGCTGTAGGTGGCTGCTCCCTTCAGGGCTGCGAGTACCACCATTTTGTCGGCTGTGCTTCTGTACTTCACCACCAGGTCTCTGGGGGCTGCCTCAGGGGCTCTCCGGGGTTTTGGGATCCCGAAGGCCGCTTCAAAGCCGATGTTCCTGGCTTGCTTAGGCGTCAGTAGGGCTCCCGTGAGCCTCCGTAGAAGGTGTGGGATTTCCTCAGCGGGTATGTCCTCCGGGATCCCGCGTATCTTGAGATTATTGCGGCGCCTGTTGTCTTCTATTGTCGCGAAGCGTTGGTCAGTTTTGGCCTGCTTTTGTTTTAAAGATTGCAATTCCTGCCTGAGCTCTGATATTTCCTGTGCTTGCCGCTTGGAGGTGACTTCGACCGCTTGAACATGGCCCACTAGGCCCGTGAGGTCTGTGCGTAGCTGAGCGACATCCGCCTGGAGGGTTTTCTGTAAGTCTCCCAGGAGAGTCTTCAGCAGCGTCGCCGTCACTGGTTCTGCAGCCACCGGACTTGGTGCCTGCTGTTGAGGCCTCACTAGAGGTAGGGTGGTAATGGCTTCCTCTGGGTAGAAATCCCCCGAGTAGTCAGAGAATTCCTTGAGGTCGGCGGCCATCTTGGTGGCCGTATGCACTTGTGCCTGGTTGAAGAGGTCTCTTATGTTGGCCCCCTGTTTTGGTCGGTCCGGTTTTTGTTTCTTGGTTTTCCTTCCCATTTTCCTTTTGGGTTGTTTGGGCGTTATCAGCAGTTTGGTGGCTGAAAATTGTTAGTTTGCTCTGCATAAACACGGAGACCATCTACCCTGCGTCCGTTCGGATCGGCTGCCAAGCTCCACCCCCCCAACTGTGTTTACACTCAGAAAATAAGTCATAAAGGACTTTACACTTGACAGCTGTGATTTCTTCACTGCAAAATCTGTTTAGTTTGCAAAGTGCTGTTGTGTTATCTGTTCTGAGAGATACATTTTATTGTATTATCCACCTTGAATTTATTTTTCTTATTGTTTTGCTTTTGTTATAAAAATGGTATTTCCTATGAATTATCTTGTCTGATTGATATATAGTGGTTGACAAATTGTTGGAATTAACTTGTTAATGAATAACCAAATGCGTAGTGCATGGCCAAATACACAATTTGTAGCTGCTAGTAGACCACAGCTCCCTTGAACCCTTGCCATATACATGCCAAATTCTAGGGTACTTATGATTTCAATCTGCATATTCGATTGTAGTATGCTAAAGCTATTGGCCCATTATTTGACCACCTCTGAACTGACTAAAAATATTGCACCTTAGTCAGATTGTTTAATGCATCTAACGCGTTAATCAAAATATTTGAATAACTTTTAATATTCAGTGACACTTTGCAGGACACTAACAAATACATTCCAGGTTTATTGGTTCCAGGTTTTATATTTAGATGTAAGTGATTAAATTATTTTTTCTACATTTTTAAATATGTACTACAAGTTCTGTTTTTTTTTCTTTGAGCACACACCTTTTAACTGTTCCATGAGAGTTTAAAAGTGGTGGAAGAATCATTCCTGGAAGGGCATTTATGCTGAAAAGAGCAATTTATTTTGCTGAAAAGAGCAATTTATTTTCAAGGCATTCTTATTTCAACGAAAGTGTGAGTGGCCATTTGAAAACTACACATTTGGTTTATTCATACACACAGTTATGCGCTATGCACTGTTCTTGTCATTTGTTTAGCAGATCATCCCCTTTTTTGCTATACATTTATTGGTTTCTGCATGAATAATAACCTAATAACAAGCCAGTAGGCACAGTTACCAGAGAAGCTATGCATGTTATATTTTATACCTGAACATGCAAAGCCAGAGATTATTTTTTTTTTATAGTGAAATTCCCTAAAGCCATATACATTAAGAAGATCATTACATGAACAAGTAATATTATTAATATGTATCTAAAATGTTTTAAATATTTATTTTCCAAGCAAAGGGCAGGGGCGGTGGTGGCTGCTCTCCTGTACTGCAGACTCCTCTTCACAAGTGCTGGGAGGAATTGATCTGAGATCACTTTCACCAAGTGCTGCAATAAATTAATTGAGGACTGTCACCCGCTGTTAGTTTGTTTGGCACTAGCAGATATAGGAAGAACTCCTACTGGGACTCAAGATAGGGCAACTTGTTTGCAATGCTTGGCACATATGCCACAGGTTGAAGACCCCTGCTATGGAACTTTAGGGCTGCTTAGAAATATTTTGATTCTTTGCAGAATCATTTGACTCCTAAAAAGAAAAACAATGGCAAGGGTAAAGTCATATCTTGCGTGTATAGTTTGTTTGGTGGATTTACCATCTGTTTTAAGGACTACTGCATCACTGTATGGCAAATTTGCCTGTTTAAAGGAACACTCCATAATCTGCTGTAGTGGTTAAGGTCTCAGGAGTGCACTGGCACCCTTCAAAAGTAAGTAGTCAAACTGTTTATAACTAAGTTGATCACTTATCTCAGTCCCACCGCTGCCTCCTCTGCTTCTACAAGCTCTACCACTGAGTTAAGGCATGAAATGCAGGGCTGTAATTATTGGCTGAGAGCACTAAGCTGATACTCTACCAGTGAACTGGCAATTTAGAACTCCGTTCCGTGGAATTAGCGAATGCTACTTGCAGAAGGGCACCCCGACACCAACCCCACTAAAGCTGCTTATGGCGTTTAAAGTCTTCCTATCAATGTATAATGTCTGAAGTTCATTTTAAACTTATAAAGATTATTTGTTAATCATACCGTGTTTTAATTTATTCAGTATTTTCCTCTTCCAGGGCTTCCAATGGATATCAGCTGTGACTGTTGCCGTATTTTGGGAGTGGCCCTTGGGGCGTTATTGTTATTTGTATTGTTCTGGATAGCTCATCGCCTTGGCATTATCTACCAACTCTTTCACAAGGTATAATAGAATAATATCATTAATATGTTTGCTGCCAATTTAATTAGCATCTTTTTCATCATAACAATGTTCTTAATGTTTACGAATGCATTTCTATTCCATAAAAATCCGCATCCAATTCAAATTAACCCTGAAGTTTAATATGCAAATGTGAAGTGTATTATGGGTAAATTGATAGCAGCTGTGGAATAGCTGCCAGCTGTTCACAGAGCAGTTCCCCCTACTCTTAGATGTGAGGGGAACTTTTCTTGGTGATAAAATACTCATCCTATAAACCCTTGCTGTGCTTAGAATTATGTGAGAAAATAGTTTCTTCTAAATCAGTGGTCCTCAAACTCTGGCCCCCCAGATGTTGCAGAACTACAACTCCCATGATTCTTTGAATTACATAGATAGCCAGAAAAACATGGGAGTTGTAGTTCAGCAACATCTGGGGGTCCGGAGTTTGAGGACCCCTGTTCTAAATGCTTAAGGGGTCTGCCGGCAACTGCAAATACTACACCAAGAGAAACTTTAAAGGTGAGAAACATTTTTTTCTTCTTCTTCTTATGTTTTTAGTGCACTATCTTTAGAATGCATTCAAAGAGGAGGCACATTTTGTCATATAGCCAACAGCATGAACCAGATGTTTGCCAACATCTGTAGAAATTAGACACCAATAGACATATTGGCCAACATAAGCAGGTGCAACTGCCAAAATACAAACCACTGCCTAGGTAAATTGATCAAATATTTCTCAAGTTAACCCCTTAAGGACACGTGACATGTCATGATTCCCTTTTATTCCAGAAGTTTGGTCATTAAGGGGTTAAAGGAACTCACCAGTCACCATAACCACTACAGCTCACTATAATTGTTATAGTGCCAGAAGGGATCTGTACATTGTACCGAGGCAAACCATTTTTGAATGGCTTGGATACTTAACTGTGGTCTGGTGTGCACTGCTCCCTACTTCCATTACCACTGTCAGCGAGAATTTTTTAAGCATTAACTACCGTTAACTCTACTTAGCTAAGCCAATCAAGGACTCAGCTGTAGTGGTTATGGTGCTTACCGTATTCCTTTAATTCTATTAGTTACATAGGCTGAAAAAAGACGTGTCCATCAAGTTCAGCCTTCCTCACATTTGTTTTTTGTTCTCCAAAATAAGGCAAAACCCCCCCAGTTTGAAGCACTTCCAATTTTGCAACAAATTAGGAGAAAAAATCCTTCTTGACCCCAGAATGGCAGTCAGATTTATCCTTGGATTAAGAAGCTATTACCCTACAGTTTAAAAATTTTATCATTGAATATGTTTTTGCAAGTATGCATCCAGTTGCTGTTTAAACATATGTACAGAATTTGATGAAACCACTTCTTCAGGCAAAGAATTCCACATCCTTATTGTTCTTACGGTAAAATAAACCTTTCCTTTGCCTTAGACTAAGTCTTCTTCTTTGTTAGTCTAAGGTAGATGAAAGGTATTTGTATGCAATATAGATACATAGCATGGGGGGTGGAGTGATATATAATCCTTCATTTTTTATCTTTCCAGGTGGAAACAAAGAGTTCACGTCATGGTGGAGAGCTTGTGGCCAATGTATTACGGGCTCATGGAGTACGTTATGTTTTTACCTTAGTTGGAGGGCACATATCTCCCATACTGGTCGCTTGTGAAAAGTTGGGCATCCGTGTAGTGGACACGAGGCAAGAGGCCACCGCAGTATTTGCTGCCGATGCTGTAGCCAGACTCTCTGGTATGTGCATCTCTGGTATACCACAAACTATTTGGCCTGTTTCTTAGTTATCTTGTACATCAGTGGTTCTTTTTTTTTTTTTTTTGACAGGCACTAATATAATACACGTGGCAATAGCTTGGTGATCTATCCTGTGATTAGAGATCTATAGCTCCATTCTTTGCTCAGTGACCCGTTCTATAGCTGTAATATAATGTAGTAAAAAGTTCAATTTTGAAGCAACAAGTTTTAATTAATTCACAATTTGTCAAACAGGAACCCTGCATATTTTTTAAAAATATTTATTCCTTATTACACATCTTTCTGGTGTAGTAGACGAGATATCGGAGGTGCTGCCCCTAGACATATAATGGGTTTCCTCAGGAGAGCTCAACTTCTTTCCTGCATCTTCTGTGAACTCTATTTTACACTAATAGTTTATAAATCCGTTTAATTCTTCCTATAAACTACATATCGAACAAACCTCTGCTCAGGAGAGAATCATGGGATAGCATCATAGACCAGATGAAGTCTCTCCCGGTAAGGGGACTATTTTATAATCGATTATTTGCATAATGCTTTGACAATAGCAGTTTATTTTTTTTAACCAATAATGTTTTCATTTTTCCAGACCTGAATTCTTGTTTGAACTGATCTTTTCTGTATTTTGGTGCAGGCACCGTGGGGGTGGCTGCAGTAACCGCGGGTCCTGGCTTAACCAACACGGTAACAGCCATTAAAAATGCTCAAATGGCGGAGTCCCCGCTCCTACTCATCGGTGGATCAGCAGCAACTCTTCTACAGGTATGTTATGACAAATCCTGCTGGTAAAAGGACACTTACTTCCTGAGTTCTAAAGTCACTGAGAGAGTAACTAAATAGTAATTTAAGTATTACCTATAAATCTGTTCCTAAGATACAATACCTGTTCCGCACGCTCCCAATCCTAATCCCCCCTCATTTTTTAAAAGTATCCAACGAGATTTAGATAAATTCATTTGGGCAGGAAAGAAACCCAGAGTTCCGAGGGCTCTCATACTTGCACCTAAGAACAGAGGTGGCCTGGCGGTCCTCAACGTCCAAACCTATCATCACGCTACTGTATTGGCGTCGGTAGTACCCCATTTTATTAATACCTCACCACCCCAATGGGTTATAATGCAAAGAAAGAGGTTAGAGCCTTATGTCCTACCAGACCTACTGTGGCTTCCCCATGGGTTTAGACCATGTGTCCAGAACCCCTCCAAATACAGCTGATTTATCATGTATGAGATAGAGGCAAACCTTCCTTCAGTAGCATACCAGATCTTTCACTTGCTACACCACTTAATGCCCTAACATATTGTGTCCCTACATTTCACGCAGCCCCGTTGTATGTGGTGGGGATAACACATCTGTACCATATCTTTCAAAATAATACCCTTCTGGATTTTGACCACCTGTCAAATAAATATGGTCTTCCACGTACCTCCCTCTACTCATACTTACAACTCAAATCATTTGTCTCAAGTTATTACAATTACTGCCTAACAAAATACCACAAATGTCTATTTCAAAATGGGAGCATATTTGTATCAATGGTAAATTACCCCACCACGTATGTCGATCCCCATGTGTTACAGTCTCCTACTAACATATGATCTATACCATACCTCAAGGATTGCCTCCCAGTGGGAATCCGATCTTAATTGTGCGGTCTCCCCTAAGCAATGGGAAAAGTGGATCTCAAACCCTAGAGGGCTCATTAGATCCTAGCTTTACTTGGAACAGCACATGAAAATGTTGCACAGGTGGAAATGGTGCCATCCAGACTGTACAGAATAGAATATACCTGTTGGAGGTGTAACATAAAAGAGGGTACTTTTCTCCGTATGTGGTGGCACTGTGCGACATTGCTGCCCTTCTGTCAAACTGTCCACGACATTATTTTGCGGTGTATGGGCTGTTCTATCCCCTTTACTTATCACCCAGGACCAAACATGTGGCCTGTAAACTAATCTACCAAATTGTGTAAAAGGGAAACTCTAGTGCCAGGAAAACAAACTTGTTTTCCTGGCACTATAGCTTCCCTTTCTATCACGGCTCCCTCCCGCGGCACTGAAGGGGTTAATAACCTCTTCAGTCACTTACCTGGGTCCAGTGCAGATGTCCCACGGCGCTGGCTCGGCTCCGCCCACCCTTCTCCACTGCGGCGTGGGAGACCTAATGCGCATATTCAATGCTTTCGTATGGGGAAAATCTGACACGTCGGATAACTGTCCTAAAGTCCGTTTGGATTCCGCAAGTCCCTCTAGTGGCTGTCTGGTAGGCAGCCACTAGAGGAGAAGTTAATCCTTAGAGGTAATTATCGCAGTTTATAAAAACTACAATAATTGCCACTGCAGGGTTAAAGGACCACTATAGTGCCAGGAAAACATACTCGTTTTCCTGGCACTATAGTGCCCTGAGGGTGCCCCCACCCTCAGGGTCCCCCTCCCGCCCGGCTCTGGAAGGGGGAAAGGTGTTTAAACTTACCTTTTTCCAGCGCTGGGCGGGGAGCTCTCTGCCTCCGATCCTCCTCCGTTCCTCCTCCTGGGCTGAATGTGCACGCGCGGCAAGAGCTGCGCGCGCATTCAGCCCGTCGCATAGGAAAGCATTTATAATGCTTTCCTATGGACGCTTGCGTGCTCTCACTGTGAAAATCACAGTGAGAAGCACGCAAGCGCCTCTAGTGGCTGTCAATGAGACAGCCACTAGAGGATTAGGGGGAAGGATTAACCCATTTATAAACATGGCAGTTTCTCTGAAACTGCTATGTTTTAAAAAAAATGGGTTAACCCTAGCTGGACCTGGCACCCAGACCACTTCATTAAGCTGAAGTGGTCTGGGTGCCTAGAGTGGTCCTTTAAGGATAATTGGAGTTTGCACGCAGACCACTTCAATGGGCTGAAGTGGTCTGGGTGCCTATAGTCTCCCTTTAACAGCTCGTCAATTGATAGCTAGAGCCCGGAAATCCTTTTTGGCTCCTAAAGTCCTCACCTTGACTGCTGAATTAGATAAACAATGTCTATATGAAACCAAATGCACATCTATATTCCCTCCTTCAGACTGTTCCAGGGATGCGTGGTTGCTGTGGCACACATGGAGATCGACCCCCACCTGAATATCTTAATGACTATCTTAATTTGTAAAGCTCTACACTAAGTATAATTTTGTGATTCTTATAGGCCTGTGTTGCATGCTGTGGGGAACGACTACTACACATTCTGCTACACAGCATTTGCATGTTGTTGTCTATATTTCATGCATAACTGTTAGATGACTCTCCCTATATTACAATTCTAGTTCTAGTTTTGTAACGTTCTAGCCTTAGAATCTGTTTTTATCCGGTGTACGGATGTAATGCTGACCGTGGGTCATATAAGTGCAAAACTAGAACCAGAATCTTCTTTTGGGAGAGTATGTCACAAAAAAGTGCTTATAGTGAAATCTGTGTATAGCAGCTCTGTACATTAGTGTGGATTACCCTTTATTCCACACACAATTTAACACAAAGACCAAAAATTGGAATACCATATACATATACCTTAAGTGGAGAGCTGTGATTGTTTGGGGGTTGTCCCTCAAGATCTTATTCGAACCGTGCACGTCAAGTGGATATATACAAAAAATATAGAAAGTACAATATAATGCAGATTGTAAAACACTGTGATAATTCAGTTAAGTAGCAGAATGGATCACTCACATTTCAAAGAGTTTACATTACTGAGCCAATATTATAGGCTCTTTGAAATGTGAGTGATCCATTTTGCTACTTAATTGAATTATCACAGTGTTTTACAATCTGCACTATATTATACTTGATATATTTCTTGTATATATCCACTTGACATGCACGGTTCAAACAAAATCTTGAGGGACAACCCCCAAACCCTCATAGCGCTCCACTCAAGGTATATGCATATCGTATACCAATTTTTGTCTCTGTGGTATCATATAAGTGATATGTACTCGTACCTTTTACCTCCCTCCACTTCCCCCCTCTTTTCTTCTGTATTTATCCCTTATGTTGAAAAATTTAATAACATTTTCAAATTGAAAAAATATATATATATATTTGCTTTTAAATTTTTAAAAAATGTACTTGTTTTTATGCTTTTCATTTCTATGTAGGGTCGGGGAGCTCTCCAAGATATAGACCAGATGTCACTATTTAAGCCAATTTGTAAATTCTGTGCCTCTGTTAGGACAATACGCCAGATCATTCCTGTGCTAAGGAAAGCTATGGCTCTCGCTCAGTCTGGAACACCAGGTAAGTAGTGGTAATGTGAGCTGTACTGGCAGCTACTACACACAGATTAACAATCTATGTTAATCTTCAAATATGCTAGCAGTTTGACTGGCACAGTGTAAAGAATAAACTAGGTAATGGTGATAAAGTGCCAGCGTTTGTTACTTTATTCAGTTTAGTGAATACACTGATTGAAATGTTCTAATAGCCAGGTTTTTCAGTGATCACATGTCTGTATGCAATTAACAAGTTCCTGTTTTATTTTTTATTTTTTTCTCTCTCTCTCTCATTCACACTATCTCCAGGACCAGTGTTTGTTGAATTTCCTATTGATATTTTGTATCCGTACCATGTTGTCCACAAAGAACTGTCCCCAAAAGGTGTTCCAAAAGGAATTGTAGGCAAAGTTATCAACTGGTGAGTCTAAAGATTCTCTTTACGACTATTTATATCTTAAACTAATAATTGCTTGAAGCATCATAATTTACAGGGATTTTAAAGGGAAAACGGGCTGTTTGGGGCGTTTTGGAGTGAGGACTGGTTTGGGAACCACTGGGCTAGGATATTGGAAGGTGGACTGGTTTGGGAACCCCTGGGGCATTGCAATGCCGCATTATGGTGTTTAAATAAGTTCATAATTTGCAATCTTGTTTTAGGTACTTACAGAATCACCTTAAAAATTTGTTTGCTGGAGCCTGGGAACCTTGTGATGTTTCACCTCTCCAGGTCTCTATCCCTCTTGCCACGGCTGACCAGGTAACATGTTTTTTTTTGTTAAAAATAAAAATTAATTCTGCTGCATGTGTAAATATAGCCTGTGTTTGTTATGGAATTTCATCATCAAAAAATATCTTCTAACCATGTTCAAATAGTATTGCGCCTTGTACCTTTATGCCATTTGATGACAGTGTCCCCATTGCTTGATTAGCTAATTAAGTAGGAGTTGAGCGGGTTATAGTTGCATACTGTTGCCAGCCACTATATATTTCTACAAAAATATACAGAAAAAAGACTGCAACCGAACTTTCTAAACTATTTCACGTCTTTGCAACAGTTTCTTAATCTTACCAATTATAATACAGTCATCTTTCTCTGCTTAGTCACTTTTCTGTGAATAGTATTTCATTGAAGTATGTAGATACAACATTAGATCTATGAATGGACGTTACATTTTTGAAATACTATCTATATATCTTCACAGCAGGGCAGGGACCTTTCCTAATCAGAGGGGCCAAGAAAGGGGGCGTGTTGTTATCACCAATGACAAGCACATACCCCCAAAGTGAGCCTGTTTGCTTATTGTTTTTTCCAGGGCAGCCAATGCGCAGAGCTCAACTAACGAGCTCTTACTTGGGAATTAGGCCCTGTGTAAAGCACATTGCTGCGTTTGCTTGTGTCTCTGGTGTCTCCATAAGTGGGTTACAAGAAGACAGAAAATGCCAGGAGACCGTATTGTGCATGTGCTTGTGGGCTAATTGTGCTATTGCACAAGTGTAAAGTGACCTGTGTGCGTGTTAGGGATGTTGTGTGTGTGTGTGTGTGAATGTATGAGACGCAGTGTGTGTCTGTAGGGGATCTAGCGTATTCGTAAGGGATCCATAATGTGTATATGGGATGTATTCTGTGTGTGAGTTGTGTATGTATGTGGTGGAGCATGTGTCTGTAGCAGTTCTAGCGTGTTTCTAAAGGATCCCTATTGTGTGTGTATATGGAATATACTTTGCGTATCAATGATAGAAACATAGAATGTGATGGCAGATAAGAACCATTTGGCCCATCTAGTCTGCCCAATTTTCTAAATTCTTTAACTAGTCCCTGGCACTATATTATATCTAGGATAGCCTTATGCCTATCCCATGCATGCTTAAACTCATTCACTGTGTAAACCTCTACCACTTCAGCTGGAAGGCTAATCCATGCATCCACTACCCTCTCAATAAAGTAAGACTTCCTGGTATTATTTTTAAACCTTTGCCCCTCTAATTTAAGACTATGTCCTCTTGTTGTGGTAGTTTTTCTTCTTTTAAATATAGTCTCCTCCTTTACTGTGTTGATTCCCTTTATGTCTTTAAATGTTTCTATCATATCCCCCCTGTCTCATCTTTTCTCCAATCTATACATGTTAAGATTCTTTAACCTTTCCTTGTAAGTTTTATCCTGTAATCCATGAACCAGTTTAGTAGCCCTTTTCTGAACCCTTTCTAAGGTATCAATATCCTTCTGGAGATACGGTCTCCAGTACTGCGTACAATACTCCAAGTGAGGTCTCCCCAGTGTTCTGTACAATGGCAAGAGCACTTCCCTCTTTCTACTGCTAATACCTCTCCCTATACAACCAAGCATTCTGCTAGCATTTCCTGCTGCTCTATTACATTGTCTGCCTACTTTTAAGTAATCTGAAATTATTACCCCTAAATCCCTTTCCTCAGATGTTGAGGAAAGGGATTTAGGGGTACACAGGCCGCCCTTTCCTCTGATACTGCCTGGTTCAGTCCACCCACCACTCCCTTTATCAAGCCATTGATAAATTTTGTTGGGCCTTTTACTACAGGCCCACCCAAACGTTGGTTTTGGCACACCACTACCGACTTACACCACTACTACTATAATTCGGCTTATTGTCCCTGACCACAAATATATGTTTATGTGTATATAAATTGTTTTAATTTTTTTTTGTCAGTTAAAATTTATAAGCATGCATCTTTCTCTTATTTTCAGTAATTATCTGTTTACTACTCAATTTCATTCAGGTTCAGCGGTGTATAGAGCTGGTGAGCCGTGCAAAAAAGCCAGTATTCCTTTTGGGTAGCCAGGTCACCCTTCCTCCCATTCCTGTAGAAAAACTCAGGTAAAAGAAAACACCAATAATGTGACCGTTTCATAACTCGTGCAACTTTTCATTCTTGTCTTAGTATAAATTAGGACCCAGTGCATTTATATTGCAGCCCAAAAAAGCAAACAATTGCCAAAAAGTTCAGTTTTTGTACAGTATAATTAATAGTGACATAGTTGGGTCCTGTATAGGCCATGGTATGGTGAGCAGAACAGAGGAAAGTATTTTATGAATTTAATTTAAAAAAAAATACATTTAAAAAATCCAAATTTACAATTTAAAAATACAATTAAAAACAATAAAATTACAGAGTGCATTGTTCCTGTCAAAATGTATTATAGTCTCATTTTGTTAAATTCCTCCCTTCATATTGTAATTCACTACGGAATAAGTTGGTGCTGTATAAATGTCAATAATAATAATAGTAAATATTTTTATTGAATGAAGTATGATGTTTGAGTTTATTAAGGAAACCATCACCACCTATGGACCATCTAGTATATTGCATGCTGAGTTTTGCTTTTAGTTTTTGATGCCTATATGTTTAGCATGTATTTATTATTTGTATTATAGGAGCCTAAATTGTTTACTTACTTGATCATAAAATCTTTTTTTTTCTGCACTTAACAGAAAATCTTTGGAGTCTTTAGGCATCCCTTGTTTCTTGGGAGGGATGGCAAGAGGCATGCTGGGAAAGGACAGTCCTTTGCACATTCGTCAGAATCGAAGGGAAGCCTTGAAGGAAGCAGATCTGGTTATTCTGGCTGGTAAGAATTTTCATAATTGGTGGAATAGATTATTGTGTAAATCAAAATTTAAATATCCGAGTAATAACACGATTACCAGTCAGTGTAGCTTATCATTCTGCCCATATTTTCACTTTGCCTTACCATGGTGTCATTGGGTCTGCCATCATCTGATTTGTGTCCTAGCTGTAACTAGGGTGTGCATCAGAGTTAGACCTCATAACCAAGGAGGCCACGGGGGGGGGACGGGGGGAGGGTAGGTGTGGTTTGGTAGCAAAATAGACACCATGGTGTGTGCGCTGAGGGCCATATCTGCTATTTGTCTCCTTAAGCAAAGTGATGTACAGCTCAAACGTGACAGAAGCACCAATATCAACAAGGCGTCATTATTCCAATCTTTTTATAGCAGTTTTTATTTATATTTAATAATTCTCTATTTTCATATACAAAAAGTACACAAACAGGCATATTAGAGTCAATGTTTAGTTAGACGAGTTCTCTAGACACAATGTTTGGAAAGCAACTTTAAGCAGTGGCCTTAACCTTTTTATCACATGGTATTGCAAAGTCGCTTATTTGAATTGTCAGACATTTATATGAACATACTATTTGTTTACTTAGGTTGGGAGAGAACGGTAGATATCTAAAGCAATATGCCATATGATTTCAGCTCTGGGCTAATTAAGTAGTATTTGTGAACTAAAAGATTTTACTGGGTGAGTTATACAGGCATACCCCACTTTTAAGTACACAATGGGACCAGAGCATGTATGTACAACGAAAATGTACTTAAAGTGAAGCGATACCTTTTTTCACTTCCCAATGCATGTACTGCATTGCAATAGTAATTTACAGGCATAACTGATACCGCAACTGCAGATTTCCAGTGATTTTATTTCCAGTGATTTATTTAGTGGTCTCCAATGGGCTTTTATTCAGTTAAAACAAACAGTAAAAAGAAAAATCTCATTCCAGATTGTACTACTTATCTTTAATGTTTTACTCATCTGACAACCTTAAACTGGGAGGAAAAGTAAAATAAACCTGCCCACTGAGCCATTTTCTGCCAATTCAATGCCAATTTGTATTTGTTAGCAGCTTAGTTGCGCACTTTGTTTAGAAACACCTCTTCATCACTTTAAACAGTTATGGTTTAACTTTGAATCCTCAGAATTGTGACTAATGCAGCTAAGCTGGTAAGTCCTAGTTATAGAAAATGGCAGGGTAAACCCTTTCACTGGATGGCGCCGATTGCAGAATATGGACAATGTAGGGGCAGAAAAAAATATATATGTTCAGCTAGGAGTAGGCATGATAAATTTGAGATGATTTAACCTGTGCCATGTTAGAAGGTGTGAAAAGATTTTGCCCCAAAGATACTGAACTGAGCTGCTCTGGGCGAGAATAGAACCTTCCATTTCCGGTTAACTCGCAAAAGGAGAGGCGCGGGAATGTCTGTACTCGCAAGGCACCTTTACATACACTGGTGGGAATGTCTGTACTCGCGAGGCACCTTTAAGTACACTCGCGGGGATGTCTGTACTCGCGAGTGTATGTAAAGTGAGTGTATGTAAAGCGGGGTATGCCTGTATACCAGTAAGAAAAGATGAAGAGGTAATAGAAGAAAAGGTGTAGATAAGGGACCTCGGAAGAGTATAGGGTAGAAGGAATTAAGAGGGAAATAAGGAGCCAAAGAGAACAAAGTAAATATAAGAGGGGGGCTTAGGGGGGTGTCCGGCTCACCCAAGGAATTGGATAAATGGGTAGGAAGTATATAGCAAGATAAGCAAAATGGTCAATAGCGCCTTGGAAGCCCGTTTTTATTTTTTGGAACATATTGTTTCTCTGTGTAGAACATTCCGTTTCTGTTGTGTCTCCATTTAGCCAGGGGTTCCAAATGTTGTGGTACATTTTGGGAAAGTCCTGAACATATAGCTAGTGCTTCGGTTGTCTTTTTTGTTTTACTGTGGTTAGGGCTGTCACATGACCAGGCAACCATGACTTTCTTGTTGCTCTACGTGTTAATAATGCTACACTTATTGCCAGTTTATTTTCGGCCTTTATAAATGAATCAAATGTTTTGGAAAAAAGTAGAGCCTGTGGGTCCAAGTGTCAGCGGGAGGAGGTGCATTTTTGCTAGTTTGAGGGGTGTGGTGTACCAACAAAATAACATTTTGTAGACCTGTTCTTTGTGACTTACACAAATGGTGAGGGACTTTAATATATTCCATATCTTCGACCAATCAAAGGCTTCCTGTGCGGGACCTAAATGTTTTCCCCAGGCTGCAATATAAGGGAGGGTAACTTGTGTGTTGTGTGCGGCCATGGAAATGTATAGATCTGAAGTTCGACCTTTTGGGTTGGGTGCACCAGTGCATCTTAATTCAGAAGAAAACTGAGATGCTTGCACTCCTGGATTAGAGAGTAATTGCCCGGTGCTGGTCAGGCACAAGATACAAAAAAAAATGATTGGAAATGACCGCACTCCAAGGACTTGTTGATAGTAAAAATAAAATATAACTTTTATTCTATATCATATAAAAAAATATCGACGTTTCAGCCCCAATACATGGGCTTTCATCAGGATGGCAATACAATACACAAATACATATAAAATACTTATATAGCAAAACATAAAGGGATACTAACCAGCTTCATGTGTGAGAGAACCGAATTGGCGTTCAAACTGCATGTGGAACAGCTGATCAGAGTGCTTCAACCGTAGTTGCTAGGCACTGCGTTCCATTTGGTTGCTAGGTGATTAGTGAAACGCAATTTCAACCGATTGCTATGCTGTTAGATCAGTAGACACAGAGCTAGTATTGCTGTGTGTATGGATCGTGAAATCCTTCCTTCTGCCTGCTACTTTCTGGCACTGTGTCTGGAATGCAATTGATACAAAGTATCAGTAGGCACCATACATCGATGTGCTGCAGCACTAACAGGATAGAGCCCTTGACAGGACTTCAGTCGTTTCAGCAAGTCAGGGACACACCAGGAAAGAAGAGCGTATTGTAGGAGAAAGAGAACTTGGTCCTTTGTCCTCAGTTCTTTATAGGCAAAATTATGTTATAACTTTTAATTTAGACTCTGGCCATATAAGGAAACTCCCCATACAAGGACCCTACCGTTTTCCACATCCTTATCTCGACCAGGATTTTTTTTAATGTAGTTCCCTCTGCCTTGGCCTTCCACAACTTAATTTTCCCTTTTTGGAAAAAAACAAACGAACCCACCTAAGCCTATCCATAACCTATTATTTTAAAAGCTCCACTGGTATCCGATCCACTCCTTTCAACCTTTTCATTCCTGTCCTGTTTGTTCTTTAACCCTCTTTTATCTCTGCTCCATTCCAGTTCTGCTTGTTTTTCTTCCATATATGTATATCTATTTCCTTTCAAAACTTGAATAAATAATTATTATTTTATAAAGTAGGTTTTAGGTGACAGTTGTCCTATAAAACACATCATACCTGTAATGATGTATACCATATCAAAACTTTATGCTTGTTAAATTTAAAAATCCATATGTTAATAATCCTAACAATATAAAAACCCTATTAGGGCGAAATGTCCCTTGTCACATCAGATGAACACACTCAACCTATCCATACCTCCCAGGACTTAATGAAAAACCTTATAAATCTTTGTATACGTTCTATAACAGAATTATGTGTTTGCAGCTGTCTGATCATCATTGATGAAAACTGTCTGACAGTTGATTGATTAGGACTAGGTGAACGTGTGTTTTTGTTACTTTATGGAGAGCAAAAAACAGATCGCAAGAGTATTCTGAGAACGGACAGCAGCTGAAATAGCCTGCTCTTTGGTGGGTCCCCACTCAGATCTCAAGCTGGTTTTAGCTCATCTAGTGCCATTACAGAGAGAACATATCTGAAGCATATCAGACTGGTCCCACCCATACGGGCAGCCCAGATCTGAAATGCCAGCAAGTTCTCTCTGCACGAGAGATACAGCAACCCCAGACAATCGTTTCAGCCTTTTTAGGCATTATCAGTGAGGCATAGCTGATATCTCTCTAGGCACCATGAGCAAGGGGTCCACGTCTGGATTACCGTTTAAGCTTATGGAGAGCAAAAAACAGATCGCAAGAGTATTCTGAGTATTCTAATTTGTTATTTTACTATAGACGATTAAATAATCTAAATGTGCAGCCTAAGGAAATATTGTGTTTTAGATCTCCCTTTCAAAAATAGTAATCACAACCTTTGCTATGCTAGGATTATATATTCTGTGTTATTGGCATGCTTTAATACATTTTTCAATCAGTAGGTTTATAACTGTGTTGATAAATTGATTTGATTAATGGCGATATGAAGTGAATATTTTTTTTTTTACGTTTTCCCAACACAGGCACAGTCTGTGATTTCCGTCTATCATATGGCCGTGTTCTGAACCGTCGCAGTAAAATCATTGCTGTAAATAGAGATCGATCTCAGCTCTTGAAGAACTCCGATATGTTCTGGAAACCAACTGTTGCAATACAAGGTAACCTAAAGGATTATGAACTAATTATTCCCCTGCAGGAACGACTGCTTTAAACCAGACTTGAGAAACCCATATTGATCATACATTATGATTTATTTTTATATTTTATTGCTAGACCAACCATATGTCTTGTTTAAGTGTTACTGTATACTTTAACCATCTCTTACACAGACCGTACTCAATTTATGTTGTGCAGGGGATGCTGGCTCCTTTATAGTCAATCTCTCAGAGGGACTCAAGGGATATACCTGTCCCTCCGACTGGACAGAACAACTGAAGTCGGGAGATGTCACTAAAGAAAAAGCAAATAAGTAATGTATCTGCAGATATGATGTAAAGCAAATAAGTAATGTATCTGCAGAAAAATCTGCAGATATGATGTATGACAATGATCTGAATGGCTCGGATTAAACAAACATGTTGGATTTTAGCTGCAGTTAGACTGTAAATGATGGGATGTTGTTCTATATATCCAAAGATATGGCGGATCATATAGTGCTCTGGTTTTGTTTACTGTGTAAACTGTATCAAGTTCTCTTGCATTCTATTCAGTAGACGCTCTGTTAAGCCCGTGAAATCTCTACTGATTACAAATATAAACCTCAACTTGGTAGAAGCTTGAAACAATATGTTTGTTTTTCTGCATTATCATTCACTGCACTATTTATTGTATATTTTGATGAACAAAGATTGCTCGATTTTCCAATTTTCTGTTATAAAAGATTCAATTTAAAGGGGACAATAACAGCATTAAATGACTTACATTTTGTATTTAAAGAATCCAAAGAAATGCACATATCAAAAGAAGAATAAGTATTACATTTGCTTGAATTGTTCATGGTTTGTGATGTAAACATGAGGCACAATATGCAAAGTAATTTAAAAAATACCAATTTATAAGAACAATTTATTTATGTTGTCATAAGCAGAGGCGACAAATTAAATGCAAGCAAATTAAATGCAATGTGTTTAAACATCATTCACATGATACTCAGCCATGATTTAAGCTGTCTGAGCATTATGTGAAACGCAGTTCAGTATGAAGGTAAGCCATCACTGCTTTACACTATTTTAGAAGGGGTAGATGTGCAAAGAGGTCAAAACCGAAATCTTCATCTTCTAATTAACTGCCTGTAGGGCTGTACTTCTCGCTTTTTTTTTTTTTTTACCATTTCAAAATTCCTGCCCGTGTTTTGATTGGGAAAACTTATGTCTTTGATACTCAGGCTAAAGGCTGAAGAGAAAACTGAAAGACACTTAAATCCTCTCAAGGTTTTGCATTTGGTGGATGAAGAAATGGCAGACGATAGTATCATTGTAGCAGATGGAGGAGACTTTGTAGGAAGTGCTGCATACATCCTCCGCCCCAGAGGTCCACTGCGCTGGTTAGATCCAGGTAATATCTGGTGGACAAAAACATTCTGTACTAACCTACAGCATGCAATCCTAAATCAAAACACGGCCCCCAAATGGACATTTAGTGACTGGTAAGGAGGAGAGATCTGTTGTCGGTCTCCCAATATATGAATTATTGCACATAAACTGTTTGGCTTCAGTCTTATTAATTCCCAAGGATTTAAGATAAGCAGAGACAAAGCTTTTATTGCAGATCATTATTATAATATTTAAATTATTACACCACAAAATGACAGCAATGATGATAAAACGACTGCGTGCGTTTCACAACAGTGGCAGGAATTTCTCACACTTTTATTTTCATTTCTTTTAAAAATTATTTCTCTGCAATAAAAGCGTGGCCTATGCTTATCTTACATAAACGTGGATTCTGGGAGTGTAATCTTAGTGCACATTTGATTCAGATCGCTTATGTGCATTATTCCAAATATCTGTTGTCATCCATTGCAATTGAACATTTTGGCATTCTGACAAAAGTTTCTATAATACAATGTAACTTGGAATTACTGCCTGAAGATCATATATTTAAAAATGATCATTGATGATAGAAAGGATACTAAATAAGAAGGCACTCTAAGCACCAATTAGAGTGTTTGGGGTGTACGAATAAGACATCTGCAGTCCTACTTTAGATTTAAATCCCTTTGTTTATTCAGCCCTAGTTACACCTCCCTGCATGTGACTCCCACAGCATGTCTACATCCTAAAAAGAACCTGAAAATTGTAAACCTTTCTGAATTAAGCAGAATCAGGGGCATGCTCTATCCATCAAAACTTCTTTATTAATCTAAATAATGGGTCTTATAGTTTCCTTATTATAAGTTTTATTTTGTTTTAATATTTATTGCTTCTGAAAATGCACTGTGGACTTTTGAAAATCTGTTCAATGCAGTACATTTTAAGGAGTTTTAGAGGGGTATGACATACAATTGCTATCTCTGGGTTAATTGTTTCTTAGACTAGATGAGTTCAGGAAAACAAATCTCCTTATCCGCTATACTCACAGCTTGGCTTTTTTAGTCTACATTTAGCAAAACAAAACACACTGATCTGTTACTAATGTCTGTAAAATATCATGTGCTATGCTTTGAACAATCCTATTCAGATGTGTCTTCATATCTCCTTTTTAGGTGCATTTGGTACTCTAGGTGTTGGTGGAGGATTTGCTTTGGGGGCTAAGCTGTGCCGCCCAGATTCAGAGGTAATGGAATTCCCCTCCCCCTCCCAGAGACACGATAGTTATTTATTTATTTTTTTAAATGTTTTAATTTATTTATTAAGAGAGCAACAATTTATAAAGAAAGCACATTTTTTTTTCATTTTGTAAACTTTATTTAATCTGCTACATTTACTGTCAGTTCCACCCTTGCAACGCTACCATATTTTATTACTTGCTACTTAGTCTACTCCCAAGTACCACAATAAATAATACAATATATATATATATTTATAACAGACTATAGTAAAGGCATATATCAGTCATCCATTTTCAAAGCAAATTAATGCTTGGTTATAATTTTAAAACTACGTCACATTTAAATGACATCATCTGCTCAAGAATGATCTAACTCTTTTTTTTTTTTTTTTTTCTAACGTACCTAAAAGAATATGCAATTGAATTGTGAATAAACTGCCCCCTCCCACACACACCTTTTCCCTTTTTTTTTCTTCCTTTTTTTATGTTTTGTTTTGTTCATTATTTTATGAGAAATTATGACTATTACAAGTATTTGTATACTAAATCTTATGAATAGAGGTTAAGAAGATATTAGCTTTGATGTTGTAACTCTTGATGGGATATTCCACCTCAGATGTATTGGCTGTAACCTGCTCTCTAAAAATGTAAATAAAAAAATGATGTATGTTTGTGTTTGTATGATTTTAGGTGTGGATTGTATTTGGAGATGGATCATTAGGATACAGCATTGTAGAATTTGATACTTACACACGTCATAAGGTAGAATTGATTTTTCGATTTGTTTTAAGATTTTGAGATTGTTCTATCTAATTAGCCGCTATGCTGGCAGGGTGATGCATGTTCACATGACACATGGAAATAATAGCTTTTCTATTGTTCCTTACCTGCAACCCTTTGCTCCAGCCGTACTATACTGAAGACTTAAAGGGACACTATGGTCTTCAATACAACTTTAGCCTAATGAAGCAGTTTTGGTGTATAGATCATGCCCCCACAGTCTCACTACCATATAGCAGTTAAAGCCCGTTGTTTGCAGCCCTAGTCACACCTCCTTGTATGTGACTTACACAGCCTTCCTAAACACTTCCTGTACAGAGTCATCTAATGTTTACACTTTATTGCAAAATCTGTTTAATTTCGACTTTCTTTCTCCTGCTCTGTTAATAGCTTGCTAGACCCTGCAGGAGCCTCCTGTATGTAATTCCAACTTACAGAGCAGGAGACACTAAAACGTCTCAAGTATGTTAACATCTGATTGAAAATTAAACCATTTTGTTTTCATGCAGGCTGTGTTGGTCACAGTGAAACTTCAGAGGCATGATCTATACAATAAAACTGTTTCATTAAGTGAAAGTTGTTTTGGTGACTATAGTGTCTCTTTAAATTGTGCTACACTTGTGTCTGTTACGTTTCACTTTAAAAATATGCAGTTTTTATCAAAGATATCATAGCCTATTTTTCCAAGAAACTTATAATACTATGGGCATTTTGTAGACATGTTACCATTATTAAAAATATATTTTTCTGTTTAAAAAATCTGTTCCAGAAGAGTTGTTTAGGGTGATGCTGGGGAATAATAAAGTAACAGCACAGAAGGGCCCCATTAAAATTTTTTTGCTATGTAACATTTTTTTGTTATTCTGGTTATTTTTTTCACGTACGATAGACTCCAGTGATTGCGCTTATTGGAAACGATGCTTGCTGGAGTCAGATTTCTCGAGAACAAGTTCCATTGTTGGGAAGCAATGTTGCCTGCAGCCTGGCCTATAATGGTGAGTCAACCGATGCATATGAATACATTGTTCTAAAGGTGGTTGGTAAAATTGATTTGTTTGGGTGTTGGATCTCCCTACTTGGAGATTTACATTTTCAGTTCTTGCAGCTTTTGTTCTCAAGCTTATCGTCTGAGACTTCGTTAGTAACAAATAATGCAACTTTTCTTAATCTATCAAGCAATCAAAATAAGATATTAATTTTTTATATGCATCACTGCATTAAGGTATTGTGGCAATAAGTAGCTGAATCACTAACTCCTTTTGTTGTCTGCCGTCATGTGGTAAGGCAAATAACTGATAAGACACAAATGCTGTTAAAGGATCACTATAGTGCCAGGAAAACATACTCGTTTTCCTGGCACTATAGTGCCCTGAGGGTGCCCCCACCCTCAGGGTCCCCCTCCCACCCGGCTCTGGGGAGAGGAAAGGGGTAAAAACTTACCTTTTTCCAGCGCTGGGCGGGGAGCTCTCCTCCTCCATTCCTCCCATTCGGCTGAATGCGCACGCGCGGCAAGAGCTGCGCGCGCATTCAGCCGGTCGCATAGGAAAGCATTTAGAATGCTTTCCTATGAACGCTTGCGTGTTCTCACTGTGATTTTCACAGTGAGAAACACGCAAGCGCCTCCACCGGCTGTCAATGAGAGGATTTGGAGGATTTGGAGGAAGGATTAACCCATTTGTAAACATAGCAGTTTCTATGAAACTGCTATGTTTATAAAAAATGGGTTAATCCTAGCTGGACCTGGCACCCAGACCACTTCATTAAGCTGAAGTGGTCTGGGTGCCTAGAGTGGTCCTTTAAGCTTTATAATTGCGACACTGGAGAAAATATCTTTCCAGATTAAGTACTATAATTAGGAAAATTAGATGACCAATTTCATCTAGTCCTCATGCACAGAAGTAAATAGGTAAGTAAATTCTGGAGGTGTAGAAGATTACAAGGGCAACTGTTACAGAATTACAGACTTGGTAGTCTGTGCAGATAGTCCAAAGTATTCAGTTTGGATGACATTATCAGAAATATACGTTTTGTTTATAAAAAAAAAAAAAAAAAAAAAGGTTCTGGCTATATTACATCCTAAACTCCATATATAAATACGTTTTGGGTTTGTATGTTTTTTTGTTTTTTTTTCTTCTGTTTTTGAAAGCAATGCAGAATGTCTAGGAAAATACTATTTTCAAGTCAGGGCATTGGCTGGGCAAGTCAAGGACATTCACATAGTTGTCCTAAGCCATTTTTGCGTTGTCTAGGATATTGGTTTAGTGTCATGCTTGTGTTAAAAGGTGAACCTTTGGCCCAGTCTGAGGGACTGAGCGCTTTGGGCCAGGAATTCATAAAGATGTGGTTTGCTGCATCAGACGTTCCCTCAATCCTAACCAGGTGGTTTGCTGCATCAGAGGTCCCCTAATTTCTAACCAGTCTCCGTCACTGCCGCAGAAAAACATCCCAAAGCTTGATTCTACCACCACCATGCCTCACTGTTGGGATAATATTGCGCAGCTGATGAGAATTATTCTGCTTTCCTCCAAACAGGGTGCTTTTAATTGAGGCCAAACTGTTCAATTTAGTTTCATCGGACCAGAGAATCTTGTTTCAGAGAGATAATTATTAGACACGTGAAGACATGTAAAATTTCATTCTGCACTATAAAAAAAAGTGTAATGAGAACATCTTTTTAATGCAATTTAATGAATTACTATCTCCCTGATAAAATAACTTTTTTTTTTTCTTGTCCGCAGATTATCACAATGTGGCAGAAGGATTCGGTGGAAAAGGCTTCCTGGTCACTCGACAGGATGACAATAGAATAGTTGACATCATCAAGGAGGGACAGAAAGCTTGCAAGAATGGGAAAGCTGTACTAATCAATGTGTTAATTGGGAAAACAAATTTTAGAGAAGGATCTATTTCTGTTTAAAACTTTGTTTTCCTCTCTTTACGTGTCGATGAGAGTGACTCAGAAATGGTAACAGATCACATCTGTTCTGGGTAGATGCTAAATGTTCTATGTCCTTTCTGGGGCCAATGGATTTCTTTTTTTTTTTATCCGAGTTGCTTTTCCATTTTTGTGAAAATGGTGCTTAGAAGCGTCTTCTCTTCCGGTATAATTAATATAGTTGTTGCCCATTTGGCACTCAAACAGTGTAAAACTGAACTCAGGGAAACTATGCACTTAATTGTGCATCAAAATTGTAAAATCTCACAGTGAAATTAAAGTAAAATAATCTCTGTTTAAATAGAAGAGGAGGTATGTATTTTAATATTACTAATTAGAACTACCTACTTTATTAAATTCCATTTCATAGTTGAAATTTGGTTTGCTTGAAATCCAGCTTACATTTTACAAGTTCGGTTGTTACTCTTTGTTTTCTAATTGTAACAATACAATATTTAGGCATTAATACTTGATGTAAGATAAATCATTTTGAGTATATTTGTATCCTATGTTGTTGGAGTGTATTACATCCTCTTGCCTTAGGAACTCTATAGAGGTGTTGTTTTTTGTTCTCATTTGAAGAATAGAAAAAATGGAATAGTGCTGTTTGGTGGGTCCAAACAAAACCTAACAAGGGTCTTTCAGAAGCTTAATATTACGTAATATTGTTTATAATATTACTCTTCTGTTGGCACGTGAAAGTATATTTTAAGTTAGAAGTGCTGTTGCATTTTTTTCTTTCTTTTTCTGTTCACCAGTCGTTAGGACTAAAACTGCTAATTTGTTTTAGATTGTGATTTGCTGTGTGTCTGCCATCACATTTTATTTTTTGTTTTTATTACTTTTTTATTTTAAGTATAGACTTAAAAACAAATCTGGCAGAACCTCTTCCACTTTCATTTCATTCGTAGAGATTAAAGTTGGCAAATTCTGAACATTGATAAGGATTAATACGAATATTTCTTAGCACTTGTTCTCCTGGATGTCATCCAATGTGCGAAGGTTGGGGATGTCCCTGCGTGATTATACAGTAGGCAGTGCACAGGAAGTAAATTTAAAGCCATGAAAGGGAATACTAATAGATTTTTAAAGTGTCACTTTTAGTACCTTAACCACTATAGCTCATAGTTGTTGAGATACTTTGTTTCTGTGGGTGTCATCCCCTGGTTTTCTGTTAACATGTTTTGTAGCAGTTTTATAAAACCCTGGTCTCTCTCCAGGACCTTTAGCCTGCACTATCTGCAGCTACACTGATAATAAAGCAGTTGCAATTCCATGTTACCAAGTGCGATTCCATCCAATCTTGAAAAACAGGCTGAGAGTGTGGAACTAACCCAGCCCAGCTTAGCTTCACCTTCTAAGCTGCACATGTTTTTTTTTCTCTGTTGTGTCTTTGCCTAATAACATCTTTGAAAAACTTGGATTGCAATCCATTCATATTTTGCCTTAGAATTTACATAAGTAGGCAGGAATTTGTAGTTAATTGTTATTTTTATTGGAAACCTTATATTTAGACATGTTTTGTTCCGTATATTTTAATTTCAGTCTGTACCAATACATCAGTTGTTATATGGTAAGTTCTATGTTAGCAGCCTTAGTGTTATGAAGGGTACGGTTACAGGTCAGTTTTAAGAAACTTTCATTCCAAAGTGCATGAGGACCTCTAGCATCGCCGGAATCCCTATAGGAAAGCATTGAATAATGCTTTTCTATGGGGAGTTCTAATGTGCGTGCGCGACCTTTGGCATGCATGCGCATTAGGTCTCCCCGCCAGCTGACGTTGACGAGGGAGGAGCGTGGGCAGAGCCTGACCCAGCACCGAGGGACAACGGCATTGGATTCAGGTAAGTCACTGAAGGGGTATTTAACCCCTTCAGCAACATGGGATGGGGGATGGGAGGGAGAGAGGCACTGCAGGAACCTGCAGGGCCAGGAAAACATGTTTTCCTGGCACTGGAGAGTCCTTTTAACTAAATGAGAATAAAATAACAAATGCATATGTACTATCAAAGCCAATAAGTGTACATTTTTTTATTTAATTTTTTAGTCTTTTTTTAGGCTAAAATATTCTGAAACTTCAAATTATTTTCATGTGTCCAGAATGGAGGTCTCTCTAAAGGATGGAAGCACTCATTTGCTACAAAATTCTGCAAAGTAAAAGAGATCTCAAGGGCAGATATATAGAAAAACAAGAAAGAAAAAAAACCACAAAGCTTGAAAAACTGAACAATATTAGTTAATTTGGGGTTTATTTTTGTAGGCATGCAAATAGATTTCTTTCTAATATTTTTAGAACCAAATCTCGCATTTTATTACTGTAGACTAATTCTGTAACTTTTGTAAATCTATGTAACATGTTTTGATATAAAAATGTAATAAATGAACATCTGACATACTTGGCATGTTTATTTTTTTTTCTGGGAAGGGAGGTGGTATATGATAGGAGTGTAGAGTCACCCATAGTAGTATATCAGTTACAGGTTCATCTGGCAAAGTCAGCTCTCTTGTGTAGTAATAACACCAAGAGAGCATACATAATTACACCAAAAAACATTTGGAGAAAAAAAAGCCAAAACAGTGCTATTACCACAACCGTTTTTTTCTGGTAGGAGAAGCCAGATGTGTCTCTGTTCAGTTTCTGCAGCTCATACAGGATTGTGCTTACTGATTGAGTAGCCAGCTGAGGCTTTCAGTCAATGAGCATGGCTCTGCTTAGCTTCCCTGCAAGATAAGTTGTCACACTGTTCTAAAATGGTTTAACAAATTACACTGAGAAGGTTCCAGGGCACTATTGGCACCATGACCACTGGGATATATTGGTTATGGCAGTTAACATTGTGACGGAACTCCTGTACTCCAGCCATGTACCTCTGCCCAGTCCGCTTCCTAGCCGCTTGCCGGGACCCTGGAACATTTCAGCCCCAGTCGCCAAAGATTGACTAACGTCTCTCAGGAGCTTTTCTGCCCAAGCAGGCTGCAGCTCTCTCTTTGCAGGCAGGTATTGTACCCCCTGCCTATTTCCCTGCAGCTTTCCTTTCAGGCAGGTATCTACACCTCTTGTAATGTGATCGGTTACTGCCTTTATAAGTGGCTCTCAACTAGCTCTTTTAACGTTGTCCCATGCTACAGGGACCGTGCAACCAGCCAACAGGTCCAAAGACTCTGTTACTGGGATCCCTGAACAAATTAGACACTGGGCACACAGTTCCAAAAGTAACTAACACACACAGCTTTATTTTAAACTTGGACTAGCCTTTGCTGACTAGTCCTAGCGTGTGGTGAAAACCATAAAAATATAAGCAACATGCATAACGTGAAATGCAAACAACATAATAATGCCTCAAATATATAACTTAATTACAACTCTTCTAACTACAGAAATATATAGCTGTAACTTGACAGTTTTACAGTATCCTCATTTGCATATTGTGATTTTGCTAACAATGCATTTTCCAGTTTCCACCAACAGTGTAGCGGAATGAACGCTTGACAAACACTTTTTTATTCCCCTTGTTAGGCTGTCGGTATCCCCAGTAGCAGAACTTTCACCTTTTGTGTGGTTTTCCCTGGTTATTTCGTGTGGTTCCTCTTTTGCCGTTCGGGCGACTTCATACAAACAGAATCCCTTCCTCTCCCGAACAAGGACCACACCTGTGCCCCATTAGAATGTTGACACCAACCATTTAAAGGACCACTATAGGCACCCAGACCACTTCAGCTTAATGAAGTGGTCTGGGTGTCAGGTCCACCTAGGATTAACCCATTATGCTGTAAACATAGCAGTTTCAAAGAAACTGCTATGTTTACTTTAGGGTTAATCCAGCCTCTAGTGGCTGTCTCATTGACAGCCGCTAGAGGCGCTTCCGTGCTTCTCACTGTGATTTTCACAGTGAGAAGACGCCAACGTCCATAGGAAAGCATTGAGAATGCTTTCCTATGGACTGGCTTAATGCGCGCGCGGCTCTGGAGAAAGGTAAGTTTTTAACCCCATCCAGCCCAGCGGGAGTGGGACCCTGAGGGTGGGGGCACCCTCAGGGCACTATAGTGCCAGGAAAACGAGTATGTTTTCCTGGCACTATAGTGGTCCTTTAAGTGCGAAACCGCAAGGAAAACAATTAATACGGGCTTCCCTTGGGTGGCCGCCAGTTCGTATAACTGAACACGTGGCAGAGAGCATGGCAGCCCTCTTGTCTCCCGAATGTAGGCAGTGGAACTCTTTTCGGCTACGCACTCGTGCGGACGCCAGTAAACCTTAGAGCGCTGCCCTTCCAGTTACCGACCACCTACACGAACAATGTTCAGGAGATATGAACTACCGAACAGGGGGAGCATTCATATCCTGATATAAAGAGATTCCCTTGTATGGTGTTCTCACCAGAACCTCACGGTGACCGGCCAGGGCACCAAATTCTCTGGAACTGTTTTGGGCTAGCGCCTCGTGTCTGGCTGGTCAAAATTTTACCATGATGCCATTCCCGTTCTGCCGAACTGATCTCAGTGATTCTTATATGTTGGACGCTCAGATCGGGGCTATCGGGAAATGTACTTTTTGTGTGGTTCTGGGGTATGGTTGAGGTACTTTTGGGGTACAAGATATTATGTTGGATTTTCTGTACCTGGGAGATAATTAAATTAGAGGAGTTTGGGACTGGGCATAAAAGCCGTGTTTGTGTCAATAAACTTCAGTTGTACCCCCAGAACTGTGTGTCGTCCAGTTACTGAGGAGGAGGTGGGAGATTCTTGGACAATTTTTCTTGTTCCTGATTGTACTTTGATGTATCCAGCGGAGGACAGTCCCTGATAGGACTAGGGCTAAGCTACAGAGAGCTTTTTAAAACAAGGGCATCCCAACCTTGCAACAATGGTAAACCTAAACCAGGCGTGGAAGCAGTCCGGATGGCCCCCTGCCTCCCCAAAACAGAACCTCATTCCAGGACAGGGCCCATAGTCTGTGGGAAGAAGGTTGACCTGCAGTCCTCTCCAACTACCAAGGTAATGGGGGAATCCGTTACAGGAACATTCCTTTAAATAGTTTCATCTTTTTACTGACATGATCTATTGTCTGCAAAGAAGTATGACTTGCTGTACATCAAACCACACATATGCAAATCCCAACGTCTTAATTTAGAAATGCATCTGGTAGGTTTTGCTTCTGTGAACCCCCCTTGACACATATTCTACACAAGCTAATGATTACTTTCATGCAGTCATATTAACGGTCGACGGGACTGGATAAGCCTATGGCCTGAGATCCTTACCAATAAGATAAGGAATGAAAACCAGTCATTTCATCTGGAACAAATAAATGTGCTGTGCATCATTGACTTTCATTTCCATTATTGACCTGCATCATCTGAGGTTATCAAACTTCCCCAGGCTATCTGAACAAAATCTGAATTGATCCGAAAGGCAAATCCATTTAAATACCAAAGTAACAACTTTTTGGGGAATTTGTTAGAGAATTTGAACAAGTTGAACAACTCAGATTTTCCAAGTGGTCATAATGTCACATTAAAGTATACTAATCGGAGAGGTTGTATCCATATATTTGCCAATGCTAGAAGCAAGCGGTACTCCAGCTATCCATGGGAATGTATATCTAATTTGGGCGGGAAGCTATATCTATTATGAGCATATCCAATTCTTTACTGATACGGCAAGAAAGTGACATCTCATGGTCCTTAACAAACCTAATCTAGTAGAACCTTGAACATTTTGAATTTCCAAGCAAATGGACAGCATCATAAAAGCAGATAATAAGCTTATCTCAAAGCTCATGTTGGTGCGGATTTGTCAAAGCAATTGGTAAGGAAAGATGTAGGGCACAATTGCATGTTAGATTTGGTTTTTCTGGATGACTGAACTGCTAAGGGAGCTGTAGCATGAGCTTCCCTACTGGGGATAGTGGTGTATTGCCCTTTAAACTCAGTACCTATTTAATTTGTTTGCTGTTCACTGCCCATTGCTGTCTTGCCTAATTTTAAGTAAAACTAAAATGTTTACGGGCCATATTTTCTCTTTGCTTATAGTCCTCTTGGTGGTGTGTACCTTTGTGAATTGACTATATGTGCCATTTACCTTTCCTATCAGTTAAACCATCATTTTATATATTATGATATTTTTAATTGTACACTAAGAATATCTGTTTTTTTATTTATAGTGTGCATTCTGACAGTAGGACTGAATTAAACCTTGGTAGCTCACTGTGTCCAGCTCAGAAACGGTGCCCAAGTGTCATATACCCCAGTTGCAAGCCTGTGTCCTTTGACCTGCATATGTTCGTATTCATTCATATTTATATAGTAACATTTTAAGCAGTGCTTTACAATTTTGCAAAGTGGATGCCTAGAGGTGGACAAGGTCCTATTCAAACGAGCGTAAAATAATTAAAAATAACTTTCTGCAGTGACCTTCTTTTGTGCAGTTTTTGACTGTCAAATTTAAAGTCACTGTTCATCCAATTGTGGACATTTACTAACATTTTTGCTATCTTTTGCATGGTCTATTGCACAAACTGGATACATATTATTATATAGAATATACATTTTCATAATACTGTAACACCACTTCCCCCATCTTCTAGTCTAATTTAGTACATGACATTTTCAGTTTCATAGTTTGGTATCAATTTGAAACTATGAAAACCAGAATAAATGTAAAAAGGTAAACAATTACTCATCCAAAACCCAGCTGTGTCTTTATTTTACACTTCTGATCCACTGTGCACATGAAACCACTTGTGATTTGTAATCATTCTCGTAGCTCGTTACTTTTTTCCTGTAAGGCAATCTCGGAGGGCTTGTTCTCGGCTAACAGAAAAAGTGATTAGGCATTACATTTCCAGGTAGATATGGCTGCTTCATTAAAGTGAAATGTGAAACAAACATCATGTCCCGGAAGGGTTGAGCTCATTACAACAAACTTTATCATAAACACCGAGATGTCCAGAGAGGATATGAATCCTATTCAATCTAATATTGTATCATTTTCCTATACCTGTTAACTGACTAAAATATATACTTACTGAAAGATGATCACATTGGATCTTTAATTGCAATATTTGCCATATTATTTTATCATGTTTGAGGGCTAATTTGCACACAAAACATTACTTTATTATTTCCAACAAGTTATGTAAAATATATCATTTTAAAGTAATCATGAAATGTTACATTACACTCTTTAAGGTTACTTGTACACTGATGTTAAATAATCAAACCTAAAAAGCAGTGATTCTCAGCTCAGTTGTCAAAACACACTTACAGTCCAGGATTTAGACATTTAAGAATTATGTTCCGAAGAGTTCCAATACTGGCAAACCCAGGACCATTGCTGTACCTTGAAGACTGGATTGGGAACTTGAACAGAGTATAAAATGCATCTTATTTTTCAAAA